TTTATAAAATAAAGAAGAGGTCATTCTAGACAATGATTTTGTTTAAATAGAAAATAATGTTAATTGTATTTGTTTTGAGTATAGTTGAATCACTAACAGTGAAAGAATACTCATTATAATAATATTTTAGTACCACAAATTTAAGATTTATCGTTACGGTTTAACTGATTCTGCATTGACAACTCTTTCTCTAATCTATTCTATAGATAAATTGAACATTTCATTAATATTAAGCTCCATAATATTGTTCTTGAGCTCAATTCAAAAATTTTCAAGTAAATTGAATTTAGTTTAAAAATCATTTAATTGCATAACGAGACCCAAGATAATTCATTTAATAAATTTTCTCTTAAAATAAAATTGACTTTAAAGACATTTTGTCAACTGTAAATTAATTTGTTTTTCTGTTTCAAAATCTAAAAACATCAATACGAGCGTATTGTGTTTCCTTGTTTACGCATAGCATTAAATCGAATTTAATGACATTATCACATTAATATTTATTTTTGGTTGATTTTTTCATATAAAATTTATTTGATTTTTTCTATAATTTATTTATTTATTTTTTTTTTGTAATTTTGAATTTTGATTCTGGAAATGAATAAAAATCCTTTCAAAAAAAAAATAAACAAAATATAAAAAATATTTTTGTTTAACATTTTCTACGATCGTGGTTTAAGAAGCTGGAAAATTGAAGATGTTGAAAAAAAGAAAAGAATCGCTTTGAATGGGAAAAAAAAAGAAGAAAAACTAAAATCATACTTCCGGTAAATATATACTGTTTTTTAAGGCTCCTGTTTCGGGAAAATAAATTTTTATACTTTATACTTTAAACAGTAATATTAAACGGATTTTCATTTTATAGCAAATAAAATGTAATGAAAAATTCAAAAATAAAAAAATTTTTTTTGTTGCTTTAAAACCCCATAATGCTTTCTACAATTTTCCCCGGAGGAACTTATTACCATAAAAAAGAATGACTGTAAAAACACATTTGAAAAGGAATGGTGGGATATTTTAGGGGTTTTCTTTTCCTCTGAAACGGGTATAAGACAAGAAAATTGCTACTTAAGAAGGTTTTGCTTCTTCTTAAAAACAAGCATAAAATAATGTGAGAGTAGAAAAATCGAAAGATATTAGTATTAAAAGTGAGAATACAAGAGAATGAGGAGTATGTTGATGAAAAATTGTTTTTGTTTTCATTTGTTGTTTAGGAGAGAAAAATAGGTTTTTTTTTGTATACCTAAAGCTAAAAGCATAACTTAACTTTTATAATTTTTTTTTTGTTTATTTGCTACAGCTTTTTTTGTTGCTTTTTTTTTCGAAATGTCAAAAGAGATATCATGTTATATCACTGTTATGAAGGTGAAGACAAATGAATTAATGTCATGATGTCAGCAATCTTCATATTACAAAACATATTTTTCATTTTTCTTATAAAATTTAAAAATTTTTTTCAATTTCTATAATAATATTGCGTGGTTTTATTGTATTTGATTTTTAGTAAAATTAGATTGAGTTTGAAATATAATTAAAATTTGGTTTGTTGTGTTAGAAAAATGTTAGAAGATTGAATCCAAATAATATAAAGAGTGTGTTTAAGCTCAATGAGATTTTAAATTGCAAATACTAAAACAAAAAATTAATTTTTAACTCAAATTTCACACACACAATGTAATGACATTTTCAAAATTATTCCTTGCCACACTCTTACTAGCCTTATATTATTGACCTGAAAGTTTTTATGGGAAACCAGCAAATTTAAGTTCTATTAATCGATGGAAGATTTCCAAAACTAATTTCAACAATTTTGCAAATTTTTTTTCAAAATTTGGATCTATACTCATGAGAATTTTCTATAATATATTGGGGATAAATGACAAGAAGCGAAAATTCGCTTGTGGGTTAATTCCTTTCTAAGTTCTATCAACTAGAAAAGCAACTGCCTTTTGTAAAACTAATAAATAAATATAAATAATATTTTTAATCAATCAAATTTTATTATCATTATTATTAAATTTCTGTAAATTTTTAAACAGCAACTTCAACAGTTTCAGTCTCAAACAGCAACAGTTTTCTAATTTCTTAAACAGTAACAACTTTTCTATCATATGGAAAATTACTTAAAAATTCTTTCTTAAACAGTAACAACTTTTCTATCATATGGAAAATTACTTAAAAATTCTTTATGTATGACAGAAAATCGATTAAATCGAATTAGCATTATTGAAATTTAAAGAATTAATTTCAGAATTACGAATTCAATAATAACACAATTCATTTCGATAATAAAATTTTTACAGTATCTCTACTGATGCTATTCTTTTCATTATGCCACTTAACATTTTTTTCTAAAATTTTCATCTAAGAAACACAAATAAAAAAATTCTGCGAAGGAAATTATGTTTCAAGGAATCAAAAACTGAGATAATATTTATTTTTTAAGGATAATATAAAATAAACATGAAAAAAAATTAAAAAAATTGAATAATATATAAGAAGGTATAAGAGAAAAAAAAACATTGTAAATATGATCAAATTCTGAATGAAAAATGATGAAAATATCATAAGAAAAAATAATAAGGAATCGAAATCAAAAGATTACTTTATTTGCTTTGATTTTTTTGTTTTTATTTTTACATTTGTTTTTATCATTGCTATCATATTGCATTTGTAAGTATATCAGAAGAATGTATAAGAGGTAATTCAGCTCACATTTATTACAATCCATACAATAAGACAATTTATATGAAGATTTAAAAGAAAAATAAAAAAATAATAAAAAAAAATAGAATAAAATTCTTGGTTTTTTTTTGTTTTGATACTTATAAATACAATTTGAAATATTGTGCTTACTATTATTAAATTTTGAAAAACAGAATTGTAAAATAACATAAGTGTAAAAAGTTATAGTCGGTTTTGTCGAAGATTTTAAATAAACGATTTGCTTTTCTCGGATACCTTTATATTGAAGCTCTAAATATTCCTCCCATTCTAAATATTTTCCGAACTATCGAAATAATCTAAATTATAAATTCTTATGCACTGCAATTAAAATTCTAATAGAAAAAGATTTATTCAAAATTGCAATTTTTATTGCATACCTCAAGGGTTATCTGAAACTAAAAATTCTTTTTACTTTACGGTCTTGTATCTTTATTTAGTACACGTATTTGTACACATATTTGAAATAGCTCGTATTTGAAAACAAAGTCCTACATAGTTTTCCGTTTCTCCTTGTTACTATTTTTATTATTGTAAATTCTTATTTTATCAAAGTTACTACCCTACAATTGCCAAATAATAATTACCAACCCTATAACTGCCAACTAACTAACGTTTTACTGATATTTTTAACAAGCCGATAAAATATTGCAATGTTAAGTGTTGTTAAATGAAAAATTTTTTGATGATTCTTGAGAAGGATTGATACAAGATATCAAATTAAAAAAGAATTATTTAAATTGTGTGATTCGATAACAAATAATATTATTATGCATATGTTTTATAAACATACATATATGTTAATGTGCGTGATTTGTATACCTTTTTCGTATTACATTCAAATACACATACTTTCGCTTAGAAACTTACATACAAATATGCATTTGTGTGTTTTTTAAGACAAATTGTATAACAAGAAAGTTTTTTGTTTTTTTCAAATCTTTTGATATTTTCATTTTTATCCCTATTTGTTCAAAAAAAAAAAAAAAAACAATAAAAATAAAATAAAGTATTAAAAATATCAAAAAATCAGAAAGGAAGGTATGAGGAAGAAAGCCTTGAATTGTGAGACGAAAATTAACAGAAACATAGAAAGAAAAAAAAAATGATTGATGTCATAAAGCCGCTGATTCAAAGAAATTTTTTTTTGCCGAATCCCAAATTGATCATTTCGATCAATAAAAATGTCAAAAATTATATTGTTGAACTTTAAGCGAAATGATTTTGTTTATGGCATTTTTTTGCTGCTTCCGTTTTTCCTTTCTATATTTTTATATTTTATCATATTTGTAATTAAATTCAAAATCCGAAAATATATTTTATATTTTTTATATATTATACATTTTTAATATTATAATGTAATTATGAATATTGATAGAGTATTTAATTTATGCGTGTAGTATCTATCAAATATGAACAATGTAGGAGACATTTTTGTAAGGTTTTGAATGTTTTGTTATTTTTATTTATTTGGGTTTTATTCATCTCAAAATGACCCCATAGGAGTGTATATACAAATGGCATTATTATAAATTAATATTAAATATCGGTTAACCCATAGTGACCCATAGTAACCGATAGTGCCACATGTAGTACAATAGCATTTGCAGCCTTTTTTATGTTACGAAGGTTGAACTATTTCGATAAATCTTCTGCGTTTAGTAAAGCTGAATTGAATGAAGAAAAGAAGAAAAGAAGTGTGTTGTAATTGGTTTTAAGCAAAACCTACAAGTATGTTTTTTCCCCACAAAAAGAACAAAATTATTTTAATAAAATATGGAAAAGGCAAATTTATGATGTAAGATTTTGATCTTGTTAAAACTTTCGTGTGCCACGAAAAATGTAGTCGGAATTTATGTGAGCGAAGAACAAATTTTTATTATAATAACTAAAAGTTAAAAAAGGCTGCTGATAACACAAAAACACAGATGACATTTTAAGAGAAAATGTGATTCCAGTAATTTTAGAAGCTATTTTAATGAAAGATAACATTAAAAAATCATATCGACAAGATTTTTAAAAGCAATCTATCACGTCTCATTTTTTGTGACAATTATTGTATATAGGGTAATCATTGAAAAATCGTTCTTTTATAACGTTTTAAACGTTCGGTCTTAAAAGCAATATATATTAAATGTTTTTAAAACCAAATCGGAAATTAAAACTTGTATTTGTCTTCAATGGGTTAATATATTTTAATATAATCGAAGAGTATTTATGCAATATAATTATCGAAATAATATGAAATGTACGAGTGTACAATTTTATATACTTACCGCGTTGCCTTTGAAGCATTCACCAGAATACCGTCTTTATACCAACGAAATTCAATTTTTGGTGAGCCTTGTGCTATACATGATAATATGAATTCAGTGTTCTCACGGATTGGTGATTTTTGATTTAATACAATTTCCTGGAATTGTAATAAAAGTAAAAATATTATTTATTTTTATTTTTATATAAAATTTCGGTACATATACAAATATATTTGTGTATATACATGGCATGTATAAGCACTTGTAAGAATATTATGTACAATCAAAATTAAAAACGAAATTAAAAAGAAATCGAAAAAAAAAATTTTTTTTTCTTCAAATGATTTTTGTTTTTGTTTTTCTCAAAAAGGACACTAATTTATTTGAATGGATTTTTAATGTTTAACTGTATTTTTTGCTTTTTGTTTTTTTTTTTAAATTAATATTTTAATGAGTTTTTTTTTTACAAGATTTTCTTCTTTCTTTTTAAAAAAATAATTCAAGCTTAAAATTTGTACTAAAAGATACTTTGTATTAAAATTTTTTTTTATTTTAATGTTAAATTACATTTGATATGAAAAACGATGGAAATTTAATGTAAGGAGCGGAAGAACTGCATACCATGTTTCTCTTTGGCATAATGTGAAATTTAATTACATATAAATTTGCGAAAAAGTTGTAGAAAATTGTTTATCGTCATAAGATTTGAAATCAAGTAAAAACCTTGAAAAAATTCTAATATTTCGGAAAGTACTTACGTAAAGATTTTTCATAAGGAATTTTAATAATAAACTAAATAAAAATATTATTTTAAAGAAAAAATATAATATAGACATTATCTTAAAATATTATGCTAGGACTTTTGATTTAATAAAATCTTATGTCTTATATACATGATTTTGTATTTAAGGGGGAAATATGAAGAGACCCAAAGAGTTTTAAAGTTTCAAAGACTTTCTTCGAAATTTATAAGGACAACTTTATTAATAGTTTCTTAAAAACTTAATTAATGAGATTGTTTTTCCTTTATAACGATTCCTAAGCTAAAATTATTTAAATATCAAAAGTGCCAAAGCAAAGTATAATGTCTATATATAAAACTGTTTGCAAACTAAGTTCATCGTTACAACTACCTAAGGGTTTGCCTAAAACCAATCTGACAATAATTCAAAATACATTTTCTTTAAGTTCGACATGACACTGCAATTACCTTTAAATAGCTTATTATTGGAAAATTGTGAACTTTTTATTTTATTGATGAAATATATATAAATAACTTGAAATACAAGAGTTCTTCAAAAAGAAATTAAATTTTATTTTATCGAAAAATATTTTATTACAAAGAATTTTGATTAGAATTAATTTTTCATTTGAAGTTTTTCACAGAAGTCTAATTTTTGCAACCAAAATTCATTAACAATTTTACTGTATTAATGTCAAAAAGAATAAAACAATACTATAAGTAGCTCTGCAAGGCCATTTAGTCTTCGAGAAAAACTAGTGCTTCATTCACAAAGTTGTAACTGCTTTCAAATTTTGCTTCATTACTCCAAATCTTGTATATTTAAATTACTGTGTTTTATTTGCAGATGACTGCAAATAAAAACTTGTTAATAAAATTGCTTATAATGCATATATGCGCAAACTCAATTGTATTACAGCGACTTAAGCGGAAATATAAAATAAAGGAAAAGTTAAAATTAATACTTTCCTTTCATTGTAACCAAGTCGCGCTATTTTGTAATTATATGACATTTCTATAAACACGAAATGTTTTTCTTCGGCTGACATAAGTGTCCTTATCCTAAAATAATAATAGAAATATGCTAAAACAGTAAAGGGTTAAGAGTGAACAGTAACGAACCAAAACTTAAAATAATGTGTTAGCAGTTAGTTATTACTTCTGAGACAAAGAAATTTATAAAATAAATTTTTATATAAATTCTTCAATATGTAACTCTTTGGTATATTGACAAGAGTCTCAAGTTCATTTCTCTAAAATTAAAACATAATTACATTTTGCGTAACATAACAAAATTTACTTTAATTTAAAGGAGTGTATGAAATTTTTAATATTATTAATTGAAAAAATTTCTACAATTTTGTTAGGAAATTGTGTAATTCTGTATAACACTCTAACATATTATATATGGTATAATTCCATTACATAAATATTATTAAACTTACTTGTAAATGCAATGGTGGATTTTCATCAAATAAATGAAAGTTTGATACTAATGTAAAATTTCCAAGTCGCCCACGTTCAACCATTCTTGTAATAGCTTCACGAATTCGATTTGAATCACTTTTAACGCCAAAAAAATGAAACGTGATATCAAGCCGTTTCGATCTGAAAAAAGAAGTAGGAGAAACATTGAAAGTGAATGTTAAAATAAATGATGAAAGGATGAAAATTTAATAATGTTGATTCTGTATTTTGCTATACATTTGGGAAAGATTGAATTTCTGTAAAAGAAAAAGATATTTATGTTTGTATGTTTCACTGCATAGATAATGATTTTCAGAGAAAATAAAAGTTTGAATGGTAACTTTGGGAATTGTGTTAAATGAGCATATAAGGTAAAATAATCTAAAATTAAGGTGTATAAATTAAGGAGAGATTGTATGTTAGTAATTCTAAACATAAGATTAATTCAATTTAAATCAATTTAAGTAATCAAGGAATTTTCAAATTTATTCTATGACTGTCTCGTTTTTTTGGGAATATTTGAGTCACGCGTTAAACTTTTATAAAATATTAGTTAACTTGCTTATTATTATACTTTCCATTCCATGTGAATATAAGATGAAATTTTTTTTTTAATTTAATTGTTTTGAGAAATCATTTCGATTTCAATTTCGATCGATTGCAACTGAACCCAATCCGTCTTCACTTGAAGTAAATTTCAAGTAAATTGAAAAGCATAAATTTTAAACATTAAATATTTTTGAGCTGGTCAAAGTTTTACTCTATTTAAATAGGGTGAAAGATTTAATGTGTTCTTTAAAATATTATCAAAATATCAGTTCCATAAAGGACATTCGACATAAATATTGTCACTTGTGGAAATTTTGAATTTCTTCATAAAATACATCTTATAGATCAAGCTAGAATACTTGATAGTATAATATGTATACGTACGCATGTTAATACAATTTAAAATTAAATGAGAACAAGTACAATTTATTATTCTTTGGAATTTTATGTCATTATTATTGTACGTACATTGATAGATGTTCTAGAAATCAATCTTTATAGCACTTACAGACAATATTCGGTTTGTTATTGGTTTTAAAAATTGGATGTTGGTATACTTGAACCATGATAAGTTTTAGTAAATCATAATTATCCTGCACAAGTCCGGGAAATTTGCAAATCATGTGATGAAAAATCTAAATAAAAAATTCACTTACGAATTGCTGATTAATTCCAAATCATTCACTTTTGTTATGTTGAAATTCCTTAAGGCACGACTCATCTGTAAGAGAATAAATATAAAATTTTTTATAGTTATGCGGTAAGAATACAAAAAATAATTAAGATAGTTTTTATTTGCATCAAAAGATTTAAAAAATTTGTAAACGGCATCAAAATTTCATTTAATTGCATGTGAGCACATTTTTTAAATATCTCCATAAAAACTTAACTATTTAGCGGCTTTTGTAGTTAAATTTCTAAACATTCTGTACAATAACAATACTTAGCTTCTTCCCAAACCTTCGAAATCACTCTAGCCTCTTTATCGGTATACTTTATTAATGAAAGCGTTTCAGGGGCCATTGTGGCTCCTTCTTTGTTAGGGCAGGTTTCTATTAGGGATAATGTAAGTAATCTTAGGTCTGTTGAGTTGTCCAATGTTCACTATTACTCTACTGATTATTGTAGGAATGAGCCGGTCACTAGAATGTTGCGTTCTGTTAATTCTATTTCTTTGGTATTTGATCCTGCTATTAGTAAGGGTACTCTTAGATCTAGACTTTTGTGTAATTTAAATTTGTAGTAATATTTTCGTTTCTTCTTGTTCTTGTCTTTCCCTCTCGTCTTTATTCATCTATATTATCTATATATTATCTATTATATTGCCTGGTGGTCGGTTTTTTGCTGTTATCATTGTTTTTAAGTTGTGCGTGTCATTTTATTTTACTTGCCTTTTTGCTCTTCCCTTTTTTTCCTACATATTCCTCTCTTTTTCCTCTCCGTCACCTTTTAAATGATGTTTTTACTTGCGCCTGTTGGCGATATGTTGGATCTAAGCAATGGATTTCTGGTATAAAATATTTTCAAAGTACTGAAAGAAAGGCGTGCTTCCATATTTTATCTGTGCGATATAGCGCCTTCAATAATTATTAAAATACCGTTTAATAACTATGTAAGTTGTATGACACCTAGCTGAACCAATACCTCGACTACTTCCAATTTAAATAGGGTTTGCTGGAAATTATTATAAATAAAGTTGGGTCAAACCAATGGTTTGTATTGTATCACTTTTCCCTTCAACAAGTGAAAATACTACTTTTAAATACAGTCTATGTATGCCTTCCACACTATTAAAATTATTTTCATTCATATAAGAAACTATTTCTAGGATTGCATATATTTAGGATGAACAGTTTATGCAGTCTTTGAAATAAAGCAAAAATTAATTTAAAGAGGGCTTAACATAATGCTCGATTTTAAGGGTTAATTGTGTGAGTTAAGGGAAATAATTATATTTTTTAATGTCATGGAATATACCGTCAGCTTTCTGATTTTATAGATATTTGAAAAAGCTTGCGGTTTCGGAAATATAAGGTGTCAAAAATTCAAATTTTACAAATTTCAAGAGGCGATAACTTGAGAGGGGGTGGAGATGGAAAAAAATTTTCTTAAAACGAAAAGAAGCATTTATTTGTGTCTAAAAGCAGGTAAAATCAGGTTTCTACAGGCTGGGGTATAGAAGAAAAATGACATCAAAAATTTGAAAAAGAAGACTTTAGATAACGGTAAATTTGAACGGCCATTTTGTTTTTTAAAGTTTAACTATAGTATACCGCGCTAGGGGAAGTAAGCCACTGCCTTCCTGCGTTTGCAAAATTTCAAAAATACTTATGGTTTCACTGCACTAAATTGTTAAAAAATGGCAATTTTAGGGTTTTGGGGGGGTATAACTTCCAGAAGGGGGGGAGATAGGTAAAAATTTTGTTCTACGGAAATAAGTTTCTATTAAAGATCTATGTACGTATTAAATTTCAACTTTCTATCTTCAAAGGTGTAGAAGTTTTGCAAACATGTCCACGGACGGACGGGCGGACAGAGTAAAACTAATAAGCACTTTTTTTCAAAAAATTTTTGGAAAAATGCTAAAAACCATTTGCGAAAATTCGTGAACTCGACTTAATTAGATTTTTAGCTGTGACGGACAAATGTATACTTGAACAGGCGGACATACATATCTCGATACAGATTTCTATATCTCAGCCGTCTATTTCTCAGCACCAATAACAAAATGATAAATTTATAATAGTGTTTGAACTGTTCGTTTAAGTATAAAGATAGTGTATTTGTTGGATGTGTGTGTTAATGATTTTCATAAAAATTACACATTCAGAAAAAAAAGTTGCAATATAAACATATCAATTTAAAATAGCTTCGGTCCCCTTGACATCATTTTAATTTTTACTTTTCATAAATTGTTGTTAAGCTATTCAAAGTGTTATGTATGTCAATAAATTTGTTAATTAAATTTTTAATGAGATAATCAGCATTTAATCGTAAATAAGAACCGTTTAACGCGAAAAATTATCTGATGTGGTCAAAACATGGCCGAACGTTTTATATTTTGCGAAAAACTAGAACATTATTCATTTTTCCAGATTTTAACTAATTTCTTCAAATTTTTAAACGATTAGTAAAAAGTATTGAGTGAGTATGGTTTCTAAATTTGTCGTCAAACTATCATCAAATTTGAGAGCACTGTAAAATTTGAGAGAGAGCTTTAATTATTGCACTAAATATGGTTTGCAATAATGATTGACGAAGAAAATTCTGTAATTTAGTAAAAAAAAAATGTTTAAAAGAAAGCAATAAAACAAATCTATTTGAGAAAAACCTCATTGTTTTGGAAGTGGTTAAAATGTTGTGAAAGCCAGGCGTTATTGAAATTGCGTTAACAAAAGAAACAAACTAGCAGTTTTGTTTTTGGATAAATTTCGGTAGAAATATTGAAAGCTGTCGTGCATTTATTTTAAAATTTTGACATGTTAAAATGCGATGCGAAGAGGATACCTCGTTTTTGTATGCAATGGTGGTTGTGCGAAGAACGAAAATGTGCTTGCTTCAAAAATATGAACATAAAAATATACAAAATTATTAAAATAAGGAAATACTTTTTTATACTTACATAATGAATACATTTTCATCATTACATTATTACATATATTTATGTAAATTTAAATTTTATTACTCGACTAAGTATCTTTGATAAACAAAACCCTACATATATAGTACATAATAATATAGTATATTGAGTTCTCATTCAAGTCTATTAAATTCGAAACAATTTAATTTGAATATTAATAGTAATGTGAAAGTCTACTTAGCATTTGCTTCCACAATACTGTACTTATGTACTCATGTGTTTTAAAAAAATTTTCTTTTACAAATTCACTCATACACTTGACACCTAGGAATACGTGTGTATATATTATTTATTTAAAAGAGTATGAAATAATTACTTTTCAAATTAGCGTACTAGATGCTGCAAGATAATTTAGGAATGACAAAATCATTTAGTGTTTGTAATGGTATGAGCCGCCATTTCGAAATAGGAATAACACATTACTAAATTTGTGTTTATACATATATTGTTAAACAAAATGAAGATGAGGTTTGTTTACACGACATACATAGATGTACTAATAAAATTTAAATATTGGCTATACGCAAACTTAGTAAATTGTCTTATAAATATGATGGTAATTAATTATTCAGTTTATTTAATTCATAATACAATTTAAAAATGCAGGTGGACCAAATTGACATCTGAATATCTATAAAACTAAATGAGATAGCGAAAAACGGATTACATATTTTAAAAGGTCATCCTCGAAAATCTGTGAAAATGTTCTTAAGTCAAAAATCACGAACATCAACTTTTTGATGCTCAGATTTAATACTACAAATTTTCTGCAAGATTTTGCTTTCATTACTATTAAATGATAGAAAAATTACAGAAAGTCGATTAGACCGAATATTATCTGGCTTTTTCGTTATAGTATAACAATTTCTTATTGTATGTAATATTGTATAAGAAATGTTGTTGAGAAAGATTGTATTTAAAAAATTTTCACACTTCACTACTAATTAAATTTGCTCCATTTTTTTTAGTAATAACCTGTTAAAGAATTTTTCAATTTTCATAATCTAATTATACGTGAAAAATCAAAGTAAACTGGAAAAATTTTCTAATTATTTTGATGAATTTCTTGTGACGATTTTAAAGTAAATCTAAAAAAAATGTATATAGTAAAGTAATTTCAGTACATACTGGAATAAAAAAATATTCTTTAGCTATTTGTACATACTTAAGAAAAATCTAGAGCAAAATAAACAAAAATATAAAAGAAAAAAGACTAAGAGAATAAAGAAGGAAAATCAAAACTGTATCAAAGTATCAAAGAAATTACACACAAGAAAACATACTAAAATATCGCTATTATTCATCTGAATGCTCTCGTATATACTTTTGTACATACATGTACATATTAACTTATTTAAAATATTCTATATAATAAAAATTTTGTAATAAGATCACGTGATGATAACTGAAGAGAATTAGGATTATTATAACTTATCACCTGCCTACACATTTACATTCGTACTTGTTTGTATTATTTCATTATATTTGTGCACCTGAAAGGTGATATCTGAGTAAGCGCGTGTTCCAAATTATTAAGTTATCAGAGTATAAAAAGAAAAAGAAAGAGAATAAAAAAATTAGGAATTCAAGGGCGTGTTAATATGACATTTTTCCTTTTATTTGAATTTTCCTTTAAGATAAAAGGATTTTTATTATTTTGATTTTTGGTTTGTTATTGTAAAAAAAAATTATAAAAAGAGAATTTCTGTTTTTTTTTGTATAATTATCTGAGTTTGAAGTTTATTTCTTTGTTAAGCAATATTTGATTTTCAGCTTTTCTGATAATAATATTAAAATTTCTTCCATTTCAATTGGTTTCCGTAGTAATTTGGATAATTAAAGGCTTCTTCTGTTACTTATGACACTTTTTTATTTTTTTTTTTGTTTCTTTTTGGAAAATTGTAAAGTATTTTTGGTAGTATAAGTATGTATTTTAAAGTCTTTTTAACGGTATAGGTGTTTCAAAACTTAATTTTATTATTATGGTTTTTATTATTGTTTTTAGTATGACTATTATTATTGTTATTAAAATTGTTTATTTTATTTTTCTTATTATTCTTATTGTTCCCTTTAAAAGTAGTATTGTTATAATTTTTGTAACGGGAAAGAACCTGCCTAATATGCTTGCCTATGTAAGACGCATCAGTACATTGTCCATATTGTTAACATTTTGGTAGGGAACCCGTAACTTTCTCTTCTTGTAACTAAGTGGGTTAGTAAATATTGATTTAAGTTTAGAGTTGTTTAAACACTAGTGATTTCATAGCTAACATCACTCCTAATTGGGTCATAATCCCTAGAATACTGTACCTGAATGCCAAGACTTATGACCAATTATGTCATGGTCACCAGCTATGGAAAAAAGTCAGAAGGGCTATGCACAAAAGACCTGTATGGTCGAGGTGCTGATTAAATTCGCCCCATACATAACAACTCTGAAGGTCATAATTCCAGCTTCTCAGAGTGATATTAGCTACGGTTACATTATCATAATTGAATTTACTATTTAATAATAATTTAAGGCTACTCACACTGGTTGTCACCGCGAATTTTGAAAAGAATAGGGTTGAACATCGAGAGAAAAAGTTGAGGGAAGATCTAGCAGCTGGTTGCTTAAAAGACCTAATGCAATTAGTGCAAATTTTCGCAGTTAAGCAGTTAGTTACAGCAGCAATGCACGTGGTGGAATTTACAGGAGGCTCAAAATAAATTAAATCATTTTGCAAAGATACACCTTCGCCAACAGTTTGCTTGAAAATAACAGGCCATGAAGTAACTGTTGATCTTCGTATTCATACGTATATACGTATGGTTGAACTTATAATTATGTTATGTGTCAAACAATGTGTTATACACATCTTTTAACTACACACTTTATGTATTGTAAACAAAGAAATTGATATTGTATATTGAGCATATACAATAAGTATACTTATTCAATTAAACGACTTTCAAAAAAAAATAATTATTAGGATACTTCGACGAGAAGGACACATCGACTAGAATTTATAAAATTACTATACAATTTAATAAGTATTTTAAGTAGTTCAATTAATATTAAATTATTTTTATAGAAAGAAATGTATTGATATTAAAATTTCATTGTAATTGAAATTATTATAAAAAGCAATTACTTATTATACTAAAAATAATTTTGAATTTATCTTATATAAATAATTTATTTTTGTACAAAAAAACTTTAATTTTATTACATAATTGTCATTGAATGAAATTTCTATGTAAAAACCAAATTACCCATTCTTAACCTTTAAGACATTATAAGAAAAACAAAATCTGAATAGGAGCAAAAAAAATAATATAAAAAGAAAAAAATATAAGCAACAAGCGTAACAATTTTCATACTAAAATTAAAGTACAATTATCATTTACTAGTTAACTTCTTAATTACAGGTGAACAGGTGCTTCAAAATAATCAAATTTAAAAAAAAAAAAGAAAATGAAGAAAATATAATTTCATCTACTGTTTTTGTTGTTTTGCTTATGCCCTACTGATTTTAAGATAATTTTTATATTATTATTCTTCTCTTATTTAAACTTCAATTGACTTTAATTTCTTTACTTTTTAACAGTAATGTGCACTACAAAAACAATGAAAGAGAAAAGTGAAGAGGCTCTCTAATCTACTAAGTGGCACATTTAATGAACATGAAATGAGAAGATTTTAGTATAACATAAACGTTACATGTACATAGGTTGAATAGTACCGAATATAATATAGTAAAGTCAAGTATAACATTAAATGTAACATGTTAGAGCATAACATTCTGGTTGTTTTTTTAGCCTGTTGTAATTTTCTTTTGTTTTTGTGTTCTTAATACAAGCATTTTGTTTTTGTATTTTTAATATAGGCAATTTAGTTAACAGACAATGACTTTGAAAAAGGAAAAAGAAGAAAAAAGAGAATAACAAAATTTTCTCTCTATTACGGTAAGTTTTTACTTTTGTTTATTTTTCTGTTTTTTTTTTATTTTTGTTTTTATAAACAGTAAATTGGTTCCTTCTTTTTACAACAATTTAAAAAACCCACTTTTATTAAAACTTTTTTTTTTCTGTTCTTTGTGGATATTATGATTATGTCCTGAAAAGGACAGGTACTTTATTTAAAAACTGTTTGTTTGCTTATATACTTTTTCTGGTAAATTATTTTAATTTTATGACAGCTAGTTAGTTACTGGTTGCTCATTTTTATACTTATTTAGAAGAAAACATTTAGAAAGGTAGACTAACAAAATTTCGTACATGATAATATTTGGGTATAGGTACATATGGAACGCTATATGAATAGCATATTACATAACATTTATTTTAAAAAAAAATTGAAAATACCTTAGCAGGTAGAAATAACTATTAAATTTTATTTTTAATACACAAACATTTTAGGATGAAGGTGAGCTTATATTATATAAGTGAATCTCATTTTTAAATTTCTCATATTATATAAATATTTTTTATTATTCTCTTGGAGCACAAAAGAAAATTTTTTTTCGAGTAATTTGGCACACTTTATGAGTTAGTGTATTATTCAATTATATTTAATGACGAGACAGAAACTGTGTTGCAGAGGTCATAAGAAAAGATATTTTAAAAATTCAAGTTGCTTAGCCATTAAGATGTGTGTAGGAAGAAAAAAAAAAGGATATTTAGAAAAACTGTTAGTTACCGATTATGTAAAACAATATTATTTTCTTTTCTTGTTTGTTTTTTTTTTATGATCAATTTAAAACAAGTTTATTTTTTTGTGTTTTCTATTATGTTAAAGGTTCTTTCTATTTAATTTTTTATGGTAAGAGAACATAAATTGGATAAATGAGTATTATACAGGTAATTTAAAAAAAAATAACATTTTTCTATGGTTATTTAAAAAATATTTTTCGTTTAAGTCATCATTAGGGAAAATGAATAAAAACGAATAACCATTTAATATGAAATAATTTAAAAATATTTGCTATTCAATTATATTAATAGTATCCTTAATTTAAATTTTAATTAAAGCATTATTCCTTTGATTGAAGTTAAATTAAAATGTTGATTTAGGAGATAGAGACAACGTTTGAATGAATATTTATTTGTAAAATAATACTCAGACTTTTGTAACAGTTTGTATCATGTGTTTATTAAAAGAGCTCAGCAATATTTTATGATTTTTGTTACCTTGAATTTTCATTTTAATTTCAATCAACCAATTCAATTGTTTTCATACAAAATTGACACCTCAAATTAAACCCTTACTCCTTTTCAGTATCAAAATTTCTTGAAACTGAAGTTGGATGTTCTTTAAAGCTTGAATTTTGTTTGTTGTTGCTCATATAACCCATATTGAATTAAATAGAAAAATAAATTTTTAAATTGTAAAATTATCAGTCCCCACTGTACTCAAAGATTTCTTTTAGTATAGAGAAAAAGAAAAACTAACTGCATTTGTCAAGCTGATCCGGTAATTAATAATTCTTGTTTCCTAAAAATATTGAAAATTCTTGTATATAATTTCATAGTTTTCAATCTAATCAAATAAATAATAATTATAATTTCAGGATTAGAGCAAAATCCTTTTGAGATTTCTTAATTTTCATTTAACAAGTAAAACTTTTTCTTTTAACAAGTAAAATCAGTAAAAAAAAAATAATTTTAATAGAAAAAAAATATTTTTGTTTTTTCTATTTCTGAAATAAAATTACTTTAAGAGATTTTCCTAAAAGCGATCTATTAAATTCAATTTGGATCTAAAAGTTTTTAATAAAACTTTGAACTTTTTCTTCCCTCTAATGTTACATCTAACCTACATTCAAATAAGAAGAACGGGGCAATGAAAAATACTAAAATAAACTTAAGTAGGAAAGCATTGCTTATAATATGAATTTTCTGGGAAAAAGTATAATATGCAAAACTTCAATAGAATATTAAATTTTTGCTTACAATATACAAAAATTTATCACAACATCAAATCGATTTTGAAAGCAAATCAAAAATCATTCGATTAGATACTAAAAAGTTAAACTTGAACTGATTTCATCAATTAGCATTCAATAAACGCCTTAAATATTATTTAGTAATAAAACAAAACATTCATTCGTTTTGCATTGTTACAATATTTATAATGATTACTAACGGATTTGGTGAAAATCTTATCAGAATTTTTGTGTTTTACAACAATATTTTCCTGTTGTTATAACATAACATTACTAAATCATTGTAAATAAGAACCTAATTAAATTTAGAGAAGGCTGCTATATATTTTATACTTTCTACTATCATAGTAAAAAGAAAACAACTCATACATAGATACATATAGATAGATCGCAGTAAAAACTTTTTCTGTTCTAACTAGGTTTTAATTAGCAAATCAATATGAAAAAAAACTAAAATGAAAACTAGAAAAAAAGGGAAGAATATAAGAGAAAAACTCTTCAAAGTCACAAAATTAAAATTCTGTTAGCATGATGACAGCTTAACTAGAATTATAACGTCATCGCTAATATTTGTTTAGTAGTGTATGTAGCATGAGTAAAAACATCTAAAATGATTAAAGAAAAAGAGAATTTTTCAGAACAGGCAAGAGGGAGAATCATAAAAAAAAAACAGATATTAAAATGAGAGATGTTTCGGATTGAGCAGAGTTTCAACTTAAAAGGGAGGAAAGTGTTTGTATACAAAAAGAAGAACCAAAAGAAAACGATAAAAATAAAAACTTTTTCGATGAGAAAAAAATTAGACATTTTGCCTTTTCTCATTTTTCTTGTTTTGTGTTCGATAAAACTTTTGAATTTCTTCAATCTTTTTTTTTTTAGCTTTAACTGAATTTTTTCGATTTTCATAGAAAAAAAGAAAGGATCGCGAACCGCACGTTCGATTTTTTCTTTCGTACTTTGTACTTTTTTTTTAACTTTTGCTTGTACTTTTTGCGCAAATAACAAGTTTTACGTCAAAACAGAATAAAAAAAAACTATTGAATTGAACGTGTTTTCTGTTTTACTTTTTTTTAGTGAAAATTTTTCTCTATTCGCTTTTAGTTAAATCGTTTTTGCCATTATTCGAACACAAACTTGAATTCGATTTCTTTAATAAGAAAAAAAAATTTTTCTCCGCGTTTCATAGTCAAAAAATTTTCGAATTTTTTTTGATAAATAGGGAGCGTAACTTCATAAAAATTAAAAAAGAAATACATAAAAAAATCAAGCGGTTTTTAATGGAATTTCGAGTTCGTTTTATGGATGTGATTTGAATATTTTTTTTTCTGTTATTTTTGTTTTTACTTTCTTGTTATGCTTTGTTTAAGTTACTTAATATCAAGGATAATTTAATGATAGTTTCAGGATACAATTTATTAAGAATTTGCTAAATAAAAAAATTAGTAGAAATAAAGTGGTTGTTGAGTAAAGTTTTTTTTTTTTGTTAAATAATTTTTTAAATTAGTTGGTGTGAATTAAAGGGAAATTTTGTTAATATTTTTTTTTGTTTTTTAATTTTGTAATTATAATGGTGTCTTTTACGTTACTGGAAAGCGAGTTTAGTTGTATTTTATGAAAAATTAATCAAAATTCTTTAATTTGTTCATTCTCAGAAGTGATTAACTTGTAATTTAAGCTTGAATTTTTTTTATATTTCTATTGCATATTATCGGATATGGTGTCAATTTTGAGCATTTTTTGTTTTTATATAAAAATTTATTTTAAAACTTTCAAATAATTCGATAACTCTGACGAACAATTTGTATAAATAAAACCTATATGTTTGAGAAACTTTCAATTAAGTTTAAATTAGATTTAAAAATAGGCAAACATTTATCATATGAAAAAATAATTCAATTAGGTCTATTTCAAACATTTTATTAAAACTTTTAATTATGAAGAATATTATGAATTGAATCTTTGTAAGAGGTACTTATGCTCTGAAATATCAAAGACTTTAATACCAAAAAGGAAATTTTCATTTTCGGAAAACATTTAATTTTTTGTCAAATTAATTTTCTTTTAGAATAAAGTTATTTAAGCGATATAAAGATTAATTGATAAAGTGGGCACTCTAAGTTTATAATTTGAACCGAATGTTTTAATTTTACCCATGTATATGTGCAAACAATATTCCTGCCAAATTATTGAATGATTTAGTTTTTAAAAACAAAATTTGGATAATCAAAATTTTTATACTTTCTTCAAAAAAGATTTTTTTTTTTGAAAATTTCAAAAAATTTAAAATTTTTCAGTTTTCAATGAGAAAAAGGTGGTAACAAGGCAGCATGTCTTCTTTTGAAAAATTTTTTATTAGCGCTAGTTAAGTATAATTTTATTTTATTAAAAAATTTTTTTTTGAAAATGCTCACATAATTTAAGTAGATATACATGAAAAATGTATAATATTTGTTACCTAAAAGTATGCAATATTTAAAATTATAATAAAAATTTAATAACGGATACGTTCTTTTTAAGGATATACAGTACAGAATACAGAAAATTAATAAAATTTTTCAATCTCCAATGTACATGGTTGAAAGGAATTCATGTACATGGATCGTGGCTAAGTCACATTAGTCAACTCATTTGCCCATTCGTTTCCTCCGATGGTGGTCTGGGACAAGTGTGACATTATGACGGGAATACATCCCCCCGGTCAGCGCCGAACAACTTTGGGATAATTTTTTGATTTTAAGTACATTCTATTAAGACCTTTAAAATCTTGAAATACAAATAGTTCCTTTTGACATATCTCCTGTACTATGAAAGATTTTTAAAGTTTATCATAACCATTAAAATGTTTTAAGAAAAGCAAATAATGCGGTATTCTAGACCTTTCGTAAGGAACCTACTTGGTATTTTTGTCGTTTGTTTGAAATAGTAGTTATAAACGAAAAAGCTTAGGTATATTAAAATTTTGCCATTTTCTTTTTAATCTCTGGAGCTCCTAAACGGATCATATTCGATATTATGTTTCGAACAAAAATTTTGCTCATTTTCGACCGTAATGGAATATATCGGATGGTATATGGCTCCTATTAGCTAATTTATTTGTCCTACTCTAGAGTTAGGTTTAATAAAAAATTAATGTCAAATTCTTATAATAATACATTGAAATTTATTGGCTAATATTTAATTTTGCAAAACAAATTTTTTATGTTATTATCATTGTTACTACTATCAGTATTGTACATCTTCAGAATTTTAATAGATATTTTTGATGTATCATGAGAACTGCCTATTTTAATAAAATTCAGAATTTTAATAAAGCTCTTAAATTACACAAGCGTTTGGTTTCTATTTGCATTTATTAAATAGGAATTCATTTGCTGCTTTCTTAAATTAGAAAACATCGAGTAGAATTTTAATTTCCGAAAATAATTTTTTTCCCCCATTCATTTCATGTAGTCTTCTAGTTTCATTTTCGGTACAATTGTTAAATTTCAAAAAAACACTGCACTTGACCAAAGTTTTGTATGCTTCTAATTTGAATTCTGCCTCTAGCCTTCAAAAACAAAAAAAAATATAAAATTGCAGTTTTAAGCATTAATTTATTCATTTAAAGATTACATTTCGGCTATGCAAAAGCAAAGTTAAAATTAAACGAGATACGAAAATATTTTTTTTTTGTGTACATAAGTAGACAACTTCTTTTTTCATAATAACATTTAAAATAAGTCACATAATAGTTGAACTTATTATTATTATTTCCTATATGAATATCCTGTATTACATCCTGTATGAATATACGTTTACCTTTAATGCACATACGTTTATTTTTGTTGTTATTTTTTCTATATTGTAATGTAAATTTACACTGGCGGGAAAAATGTTGTTTTGTTGACTTTACTTTTTTAGTTTTTCTTTCTTTTTTTGTTTTGTAAATTTTATACAAGTTTATAACCGGTAAAAATTGTTAAATTCCGGAAAAACATTTAAAAAACATTTTATGTATATTATATAATAATAGTAAGGTACAGATCGCAAAATACGACACAAAACAGTAAAATGAAAAACATACTAAAACAATAAAGAAGGACACAAGAAAAAAAAAATAAACCAACATATAAAAATAAACAAGGACGTTAGTGTTTAAAACACAATTTAAAGAAGAAACAAGTGCAGAAAAATAAAAAAAAAAAAAACAAAATTAAAGAAAATACAGATTTTTTGTATGAGATAAAAACAAAAATCATTTAAATTTATATTTTAAATTAATATAAGTGAAAAGCAGCCAAAATACGAAAGAAGAACAACAGCAGCAGTTAACAGAGCAGATTTTTAACATAAATATAACGTGTACTGAAAAACCAGCAAAACTAAAAAATATCACAAAAAAAGCCTCTTGTATTGTAAAATGCCTGGAGTTGTGTTTTTAATAGTTGTACCAACAGCAAATTTTGAACGTCAACTTTTATATGGTGGTAAGTTTTATTTTAATCATACACAAACATACATACAAATATATTCATTAAACATGTTTGTTTCTCTTAATTTAAATATGCAATCAAAATTAGACCCACGTAGTACAGCGAAAAATGCTATTTTTTTACTATATGAATTTTTTGTTTTAAGGAATTAAAAAAAAATTTTTTTTTTTAAAATAAAAGTAAACAATTTGTTTTTTATGGTTTTTTTTTAATAATTAATTTCTAATTATATTTTTTTTTTTATTTAAAAGCGCATGTCTTTTGTCTGCGTTTTTTGTTTGCCATAGCCATTAAAAACATTATAAAATTTATTTAAATTTGGAAACTCGTATTTGATGCAACAACCAGTTGGGTAAAATAAGAAAGAGTAAGAGAGCATGATTCGTGTATAAGATTTCTTACAGTTTAATTCAAAAATTTTTGTGAGAGCAAGGTTTTAAAGTGTTTTCGGTCTCAAAGTTGAAGAAAAGAAAAATTATACTCAAAAGTCTTTTATTGAATCAATTAAAGAAAACAGAACTCTTTTGTACTATGATATGAAATCTATGTTCGTCGTGGTGATCTATAAAACAAAAAACATTACTTACTTTTTTTAACTTTAATTAAGATTTGAACTTCCTGTTAATTTTTTAATTTTAATGGGAAAGTTGTCAAAATTTTGTTGTAATACAATATAATTTAAAAGCAAACAAAACATTTACGAATTTCTACGCCTGTACATATGCAATTTTCTCAAAATTTTAGTCGACAAATGCGTACACATTTAATTAACAAAGCTAATAATATAATTTTTTTTTTTGTAGTACATTGCATATTATTCTCAATTTCTGTGTGTCGAAAACTAAAATTAATAATGTCAAAAGAAAACAGCATTTGAATTATCTACTCTTAATAGCTTTTAAATAAGAGAAAAATCAATTTGTATTATAAAATCTAGATAGAAACAAAGTAACCATGCATCTCTTGCAATTATTTCAAAATGTATATTGTGTTTTCATTTTAATAAGATTTGAAAATTTAATCTATTCTATGTACATACGTATATTACTTGGCTATTGATAGAAAATGTTAATAAAATCATTCAATTTCAGTTAATTACTTGCAAACATAAGAACGTACAAAAAACATGCAATGCATTTGACCTAATTGTAATAAAATTCTCTTAAATAACTTCTTTTAACACGTGATTTCGATGAAATACATATTCGCTGTTATTTGCTACTCGCTATGCTTTACAAAATTTTCAAATTTATTTACGCTCTTGTTCTGAAATTTTACAAAAAACGATGAGAAAATTTACGACAATTTTATCATTTTACCAACAAAAAAAATTCTGATTTAAGTTGCAAAAGAGTTTTTACAACATTTTTATTACATATCAAGGTTTTTACCACTACATTATAAAAACAAAAGAGAAAAAAATGCAATTTTCATGTTTCTTTACTTATGCATGTTTGCAATATATTCAGTTTAAAATTGGTTGTATGGTAATAGGAGCATATGTTCCTCTCAGTTTTCAAATTTTGTATTAACTACATGCATTTTGTGTTCCAGTCGCGGTATAATAAATAACAGGTTTCGTTAAATATAGTTGTTTCTTCTTATAACCAATTCAATGTATGCAAAGATTTATGCAACGCATCTGATTTGATTATTTAGAACTAGTTTGTTTGCAAATTATTGCTCTTAGTTCAATTCGTATAAAAATTGAAACTTAAATTACGAAATGAGTACTTTCTATAAATATAAGCATATAAGATAGTTAGTTAGGTCAATTAAAGGAGTAAAAACACAAAATTGAGTGAAAGGTTTGTGACTAATAAAATAGTTTTTCAATAAAGGCTCGATTATTTAATAATAACTAAATAAATCTGAATTTTTACATATGCGAACGTATTAAAATTACCAAATCTTTTTAATGTCTACTTCAGGTTAAAATTATTCTAATACATTTATTATGCAAGGTTTTGCAACAAATTCAATTCCCTATTCCATGCATATTTAATTAAGTGAAAAACACAGGAAATATTATCGTTTTTAATATAATTCTGTTTTATACATGTGTAGTTACTATACATAGGATCCTATATTCCTGCCAACATTTATATAAGTGTATATGATATGTATTATGTAATTACAATTTTATACACAAAGTATTTTATGCAATTAGAGCAGTACTGACAATGGCGTGCAAACATTTTGCAACTAGGTATAAATGTATTCAATCTTAACATTTAACTGCAACTATAAAACGTATTCAATCCTTATATTTTTGTAATTTTAAGGTATGGGAACAATGTTATTTTTATCTATTTATTTTAGCTGCATATAAATTTGTTAGTAAAAGTATATTATGCACTAGTATATACATAAATACTCTTAATATACATATAATATATATGAATATACGAAAGTATAACATAAGAGTGTATACATGAGAACTTTAAGGATATAGGATTAGTTTGCTGTACGATGATATGATGAAATTTTAAATGCAAGATTTTTTTACTTTATTATTTAAAATTCACCCAAAAGAGCTTACAAACAGAAAAAAAAGGCAAAATATAAAATAGGAAGAAAATAAAGTGAAAGAAAAGTAGTCAAATAATTTTTAAATAAAAATATTCAAAATCAGGAAGTCATATGATTTTAAGGATTCGTTTTTTTCTCTCATTTTAAGGATATTTTTTTAGATTTCTAAAGATTTTTAGTAATAGTAAAAATATACTCTAAAATCTGTATTAAAAAAATTAAATGCATAGCAGAGTAAAGGGATTTAACAAACATTTTAAAATGGATGGAATTTTCCGAAAACTGGTGAAATAAATAATCAGATTACAATTAAAAAGATGAAAAATAAAAAATTACTTTAATTAATTTTAACTGGAAAATATAAAATGAAGAGATTAGGAAGTAATGAGAATAAAAATTTAATTAAATATTGCATTCTTGGATGGCTGCAGTTTGCATATGTAAGAAGATAAAGAGTTTGTAAATTGGAAAATCTTTATTATGAAATCGATTTTCTGCTTTTACTGCTTAATTTTGTGAAAAAAAAAGTATTAACTTTGAATTACTACCAAAAACAATTAAGGATTAGTAATATTTTTGGGTTTTTGCAATTATTATGCATTTTAACGTAGTTATGGTGTTAATTTTTAATTTAGCAGAAATTGCATGTTTTGTAAAAGAATAAAAATATTTTTATTGCATGAATTTTTAAGGACATTCCGCTTTAGTTCGGTTAGATCTTTTAAAAACTTTTAATGTTGGATTAAGCAAAAAAATCGACGGCCAGGAAAAGGAAATTGTCTTATTATTTTATTTTTTTTTTAAATTTTTATTGTTGAACTAAGAAATTTTTCCAGGCCTAATCGCAAATTTTATATTAAGTGTTTGATTTTAAAAACTTAAATATCAACAACGTTTCGAATACAGTAATAACACAGCTAAGATAGCCTATTACTAAACGTAATATTTCGATATATTATGTAGATTTTATTTTTCTCACCTGTTTTCATTTAGTGTAATTTTTACTTCATTCAACGTTACTTTTATTAGGCAAAAAGAAGATTTATTTTATGAAACTTCATGCAATGTGATTCAACTTACAATTAAAAATTTTTCAATCCCAAAAATTACGTAATAGGAGAGCTTGCCGCATATGTCGACAAAGTAGTAACAGAAATATTTTCAAAATTATTTTTTGTTAAGTGTAGTTCGACAACTGGTAATACATTTGATAAAATCAACTTAAGCCACTTACAATATAAAAACTTAAAGTATGTGAGATCTTTGCTTAGATTAGATCAACTCAGTTTGAAGCTATACCCGAAGAAGAAACTAATTAAGAGAGATGCCATTAATTGATATTCATTTATTTGAACGAAATCACACACATTTTTGTATAAGTAGATGAGTAGGTCTGAAATATACTTTACTTGTTGATCTAATTAGTTGTACAGTGTTCTATTTAGAAATTCAATTTTGAAAAAAACATTTTGTGTTGTTTTAAGTAACCATTAAAAAATTTCAAAATGCTAATTTATTTAAATGCAACTTGCTGAATTTAAAGTTCTTTCCATATAGTTTCCTTATTTCTTATTTATTTATCAAAAAACTTAATTTCAAGTCTTTAATGACTAAAGTTTTTTTTGTTCCGGTATCCTTAAAATATTTTCATTAATATTTCAAAGCAATTTATACATAAATGAGAGACTACAAAAAATTTTCATAAATTAAATAACCTTCAGATAGATAAAATTTAATATTAAATTAAATCGCTTCCACAGTAATATTTTTCCCTTACAACTTACTTTTACCTTAACAATTTTCATTTCATTTTCAGTGCCGTTAAACTGTAATATGAGTTATTTAGAAAAAAAAAATTGTAAACGAAAAGTAAATGATGAAATTTTTCAAAGAACTTTAGTCTTGTACAATCAAAAGGCAATATTTTGTGTATTTAGCGACCATTATAGTAAAACAGATATGTACCTATAAAAAGAAAATAAAAAAAGTAATCATAAAAGCAAAGGATATTTTCTTAAAAGAAAGGATTTTAAAGAACAATGTACGAGAATTATAACAAATTTCTTTATGAATTTGGAAAATTTTTCTCTTTTTCATGGTTACACAGAAAAATTTCAGTAAAAACGAATATCTTTTGTGTTAGTAGGATTAATTTTGATTCATTTAAAATTCTTGTAGACAAAAATAGTGTGTGGAACCTTCTTAATACAATTACAACACTACTCTTGTATAATAGAGAAACATTACAAAACAAAAAATAAAATAAAATAAACAGTAACTATCCGAAAATGGTTTGTATTAAAGGGCGTTGTATTAATCCATTTGATAAATGACACAAGTCTGGAAAACTCGTTTTTATTTACCAATATTGCTGCGAAAACTTTTGAACTTAAACAATTTTAGCAGCTTTTACTTAAAAAACTATCGAAATCGGCGTTATAATCAAAAGTTGTTACTCTACAACCTAAAATCAATTTCTCGTTAAAATCAATTTCTTCATTAAACTTGGTAATTAATTAGAAATTTAATGAGAAAAATATTTATCAAATATTTAAGTTCTATGAGAAAAATTCGCCAGATGTATTTAACTTCGACCACTTACTTTATTTTTCATTTTTCCCATTCTTCATAATCTAAATTTCTTATTCTACTATTCACCCAGAATGTCTTTAATTCTTTTTGGTGTACTAATATACTATAGTTTTTTCCAAGGGTCTTTCAAGTTTTATATTTTTATTTCGTACTTTTACATTTTGGCAGGTTTTTTATTACGTACACTGACATATAAGGTTTGTATTGAGCTCTTAAACCTCTTAGTGGATTAAATTGGTATTTTAGGTGGACTTTATGCTTATCAACAAAATATCCTTTTCATTGTTTTTTTTTTGTTTTTCATTATACGTCCAACAAAATTTAGTGTTACTTCGAGTTCGAAATGAAAATGAAACTGAAATGAAATAAAAATGAAAATTCCAAAAATAAAAACCATCGAAAAGGAAAGAAAATTGCAGAGATTTGTTGTTGTTTTTGTCTTCTTTTTAAAGACAATAAATCATTATCCTTGTTAACTGTTTTTGTCATAATTTAAAATTCTCTTAAGAATTTTCCTCGTCCAAATTCTTAACACCCGTTTTTTTCCTATTTTTAATCTCAAATACTATTTTTTGGAAAATAGGAAAGAAAATAGAATTTAAAATTCTCATTTATAAAATTCGAGGTAAAATTTTTTTTAGTGGAACTAAAGTGATTGTCAAGAATTTTACCGCGAACGGAAACAGGAAAATTATAAGCCTTGAAAAAAAAAATTATACTATTTATGTTGACATTGTACAGGTGTGCTGGTAAGAAAATTTTTCGTTTAATTAAAGAAAAGTGGTAATAAATTTAGTTTTTCTTTATTCTCAGTCATAAGATTTGTTTCTTTAATTAGAAAACTTGTAATTTAAAAGAATTTAAAAATTTGCTTTAGTTGACCCTGCACAGTTCTTTTATAATAGTGTGTAAGTATAAAAAGAATGGCAATGAAATAAAGTGAAATACTTGTTTCCATAAATTACAATTACAATTTAATTAAATTTTATTGAAAATTTAATCGTATGTGTTCGAATAAATTTCAAACAATAGAATTTTTTATATTAGTATTAATTAAATAATTTAGTAAAGAATATAACAGAACAAACGTAAAACAATTATAACTATAAAAATTCCGAAACAGAATTGTAAACTAAATTCTCAGTGTGTATTAAAGAAAAAGTTAAATGGTTCCAAGGTAAAAAATTAAATTGAGATTTTAACGTATTATTGAATTGAAATTTTTAGGTTAGTTGTCTGGAAGGACAATTTTGGCAACCACATAGATAATTAACACTAAAGTTATTTAGTGTAATTTTTACTTCGATGTGTAAGTTCATGCTTCATATAAGATCTTTCATCTGACTCATTGTTCTAGTTGTCATGATAAAAAATCAGTTTTCACGAAAATTTAAATTTTCTTTCTAATTTAAAGTATATGGGTTCAGACATGGTAGCATTTTTATAATTGACTTTAAAAGTCTTGCAATACAAGCATTTTTAAAGTTCTTCCAGCGTGAGTTACTGTCCGAACAAGTTGTAGTTTATTAAAAAATTATGTTAAATGTATTGACCAAACTAAATTACACATAACCTGAACTGAATAAGTTGAATATGTTTCTCACAAAACCTTTAATTGATTTCTTAAATTCTACATGATGTGAAGTCGTTAAAAGCACTTAAAATTAAAATTTTTCAAAATTTCTATGTACGCAAGATATATATATGTAATATATAAATATAATATATAGATTTTTCTAGTTTTGATTTTCTTCAGGTATCTTAAATGGTTCATTATTTTTAACTTCAATTTGGTAGTATTTCCATCATCAGATTATTTATTAAAGACAACAAATACATTTTTCACTTTGTACAATTTTGACTAGAATATTGTATTAAAGTTGATATTCTTATAAGTGGAATACTAAATACATAAACAATATATAATATAAGAGTTATATGTAAGAACTACAATTAGGGATGCTAGCGTTTGCTTTTGATTTTATATAGGTACTTATAGTTTACTCTACAAATTGAAATGTTCCATAATAATGTTTATTTAGGAAAACCAAAAAACTGAAATAACAAGAAGCAAATAATAAAATATAATGTACTTATAGAATATTTAGGGAGCAAATATTGATGAAAATCATTAGAATCCTGGGACGTGTGTGGATCTCAGATAAGAATGTCAGAGGTTATTTACCTTGACCAACAGTTTTATATGAAAATTTGTACTAAAAATATTTTTGTTATAAATTGATTTTTGTTTTCTATGTGTTAAAGAACTTAAGAAAATATTTTCAACGGACTTAAAGAATGCACTTCTAAAATAGTTTTTGTATAAATTAAAAAAAAAAAAACTAAAATTTTAGAGCTAACTCTATATTGAAATGAGTTTTATGTTGGACTTTTCCAAAGTTAAAATATTCACTTTAGTTAAGAGATTCAGTTGATGTTATAACCTTTTTCTTTTCTTTACTTTAAACATATTCAAAATATTTTTATTTCATATGTTAAACATAAAATTTTTAAGTTTATAAAATTCAATTGACAGCACTTGAAATTCAATTGTACTAAAAGATTTTCCTTTCGTTTTCCTTATTTTAAACAAAATTAAATATTTTCTTTCTTATTACATATATTGTTTTCGCTTTCAATTTATATTGATGCTTACAACAAAAACAATACAAAAAGGACTTAACAAATGGGATACAAATAATGATACTGCATTACTTCCACATCCACAATACCAAACAAGTACAATAAGTCATAATAATCAGTTACTTCAACCATCTAGCGGCAATATAAATACAATACATGATGATACAACTGGACATATTGGTGGACCCCAAAATGGTAGTGGTGTTGTTGGTAGTAGTGCAAACAGTGGAAATAATTTAAACATCACTCTTCCTGATAACAATACAAATGCTCTGTTACGTCTTGAGGTTGAATTACGTGACAAGAATGCACCAAAAAATCGTAAAGGTTATGGTAGAGGTGGTGGTGGTAATAAAATTCCTATAACTACTTCAAATTTAACCAATTTATCACAATCACCATCACCATATAAAAAAGGTGGAGCAGAACTACAACAAAATAAGGATATAAACGTTATGGTACCAATGGAAAAGGTAAGTAAACATTTAGATGTACAAAAGTATAGATGAAATTTATTGATTTTTAAATAGCAATATTTTTTTTTATATTTTATGAATTATTTTTAAAGTAATTGAAAGGTTTCAGTTAAATGTTAAAGGTTCTTGCTAGTTTTAAAGTGAGAAAATTGAAATTTAAGAATATCAATAAAGGACAGGATTAAAATTTTGAGTTGTTATTTTATAGTTGAAAGGTGAGTGGTTGTTTTTTAATTAAAATGGTGTGGGAATGTCAGATTGTCAAGCTAATTAGAAGCTTTGAAAAATTAGAAATAAAATTCTATAAAGTTTATATTAAATTTAAGAAAAATGTCAAAATCAATCTTAATGTTATGTTCAATATTCCACGTTATCATGGCCATTACATGCACTGCTAGTATCTAAGTTTCTAATATTTTACAATAAATGAAATTCTTTATACAAAAATTAATTATTTTTATTGTCTTAAAACGGTTTTGCATTAATGTTAATTTTGATGATTTAGTTGCTCTCTGAAAAATTTGCTATAACAATAACATAGTCTTACATTAAATAAATTATTATCTCAAATAATAAACAATCAACAAGATAACTTAGAAATTTTCTTATGAAAAATTTATACGTGGGCTGCTTTTAATTTATTTCTAAAAACTAAGCGCAAATAATAAGCTTGGAAAAGTTTTTCTTTTCTTGCTATTATTTGCTGAAAAATAATAATTGCCTTAATCGTAATTACAATGAAAGCAGTAAGCTTTCACATTTGTTTTCTTTTGAAATTATATTGGAATTTACTTTGGAAAATCCTCGAATTTAGAAATAAAACCGTTGTATTTGTAAGAATATTTTGTATAGCTTAAAATTACATACACATGTAAGTGAACATTTTTATCTTCAATTTTCAGTGTTTTGTAAAATTTTTAAGATAATTTTATTTCTAGAAAATTCAAATTTTTTTCTTTTTTTTTTATAATATAAATTTATGCCTGACTTAATAATTTTTTTACGGAAGAACACTTACAGTACCTATACCGGTTTGATAAAGTCGTTATTTGTCAAAAATTTAAATATAGGAAAATTTTTGATTTATAATCAAACGTGATTACCGCACCTACCTTACCTTATCTTAACAAGTAAAGAAAAGAGAGAAAAAGAATGTAATATATAAAGTATAGATAAAATAAAGAACGTTTAGTTGCGAAACTATAGGATATGATGACTTTGAAATGTATATACCTTAAGAACGTGTACAAAAAAATTACCGTCTATACTATTCCTAATTGTTAATTGAAAATGTTAAATTAAAACAACCATTAAAAATTTAAATAAAAACAATAAATTCAAGAGACTGCTAGGACAGATCCATTATTAAGTACCATATTTGGCTCATTTGCTTGGAAAAGTTGTCCAGGATTGCCCAATATGTGGACCTTGTGAAAATATTCCAGATAAACCCATTGGATATGTGAGTAAGGTAAACAATAATTCTTGTATTGCATCCTTAGTCGAATCTAAAATGTGTAATTGAGTAGGAGTCATTGAAATCAGAAAGAAAATGAATATTTTGATTCTTCCCAATTTAGATACTTCAAAATTTTATAGATGAAATTCGGATTATATAATGTGCATAGAAGATGTTATCCTTGTGCAGTAACTAAGAAAAATAAGTCTAAAACAAGGACATTATTATGTCAAAAATGCTTAAATATGCCACCTTGTTACAATTATATTATTTTTTTTTCCAGAAAATAAGAATAAAAAATATTTTTAGGGGAAAAATTTGTTTTGTGTCTCTGTTTTCTTGTACTGACTTGAAAATGTGTTTGTGTCTGAATGTATATAAAAAAGGATACTTTATCTACCTCAAGTCTTTTTTCAGGATCACAAATTTATGTTCGGATATTTTTTATTTTTCATTTTTTTTTTGGAATAAATTAAAATTCCTTATAGGACACTTTTTTTTTATTTTTCTTTTCTTACTTTTTTACTTTTTTTTTTTTAATTTTCCTGAAAAACCTAAATATAAAATTTTTCCTATTTTGATTTTTTTTCTCTTTTTTAATTTTGTTTTTTTGTATTTTTCTTATCCGTCATAGGATTAAAATGAAAATATTCTGTCATCATTTGACTTTTAACTAAATACGTGATAACAGTTGTCTTTATCCTTATTAATCTGTCGCCTGTAAAAATATGCTTCTATTCGAAAGTACATACATACATATCGCGCTAGTGTGTAACTACGTACGACAGTGTTGTACCAATGTTCAAGAATAAAAAAACAAATTGCGTGTTAATGCGTATTCGAGAAAAAAAAATTTTTTTTGTCGTTTCATTTTTTGCTGATTTCATTGAAAATTTCAATATTTGCACCTGTTAGGTGTTATCAAAAAGAAATAAAAACTAAAAAGATGGGATGAGAAAGTTGTAGAGAGGGAGTAGTTGAGGGCAAATACGATACGTAACTGTAAAAATTATTATAATTTGTAAAATCATTACAAAATATTAAAATATTGGAAAAAGAATTTTTAAAATTTTACATGACATTGGGTACAAAAAAACATGGTAAAAAGTTCTCGGAAAAAACAAAAAAAAGAATTATAAATTTTTAAGAGTTTTTAGACTTTTCGGTGATGAGAAAACCAATAGAAATTGTTAAATTTGCGAAACTTTTCATAAGACAAGGAGTGCATTTATTTTTTGAGCTAGGGACTAACAATGTTCTTTTAAATTTTAGTAATACTGGAAATGAAATTAATTATAAAAACAAAATTGTTTTTATTTAATTTAATAATTATAAATTTATTGTATTCTTCTCCCATTATACATGTCCAACTTTATACCTTTATTTAAAAATATTTTAAAGTCTTTTACATATATAAACACATAATACATACGCGTTTTAAATTTACAATTGAATGCGCGAATAAAATTCTAAATTACAAGATTTCGAATGTTATGTTTTGATGGATAATAACATTCTTTTTTCCATTCTCTATTTGTCTTCCAAACAATATAACGGCCTCCCACACTTTCAAAGTATTGCTTTTGGCTCTTAAAGTGGGCAGTTTGTAGTAAAACTTCACAAAGTTAACGCGCCATATTCGAAAATTATAAAGATGGCTTAGTAAGAAACTTAGCTTAGTAAAAACGGAAAGTAAACGCCTTAGAAAATAAAAGATAAATAAATTTAAAAAGATATATAAATTTTGGGTTAAAATTTTCAATGAAATGGCAACAAGTTTTTTATTTTATAATAATCGAAAATGAAATATTATTTTAAATCTCTTGTTAAGTTGTACACACGTATATGGTGTTTTTCAAGGATTCATAAATGAGGATTTAAGTTAGTGTTGTGAAAAGTGTTCACCTTTAACATTACAGGCTTATTGTTTAATGAAAGAAGATTTTTATCTATATTGTTAAGATATTTTCCTTTATTTATTTTTACTTTTTCAATATTTATTATCGAATATTGTACAAATACAATGATATAAAACTAAACTTCAACCAACAACAACAATTGTGTATAAAGGTTTCTCTTTATTCTTTAACAAATAAAATAGTTATCCTTCAATGCTTTTAATGGTCACTAATTTGAACACAAAACAACATAAAGTATAAAAAGTTAAAAAAAAGAAACAACAACATTATACGAGTAACAATAGTTGGCACTGTTCTCTCAATTATTATATTTTGGTTGCTGAAACGGGACAATAATGGAAAATGGAATGGAAAAAAACCGTAGAAATTTATTAGTTCAATTTTTTGAAAAAAAAAGTAATTTCTACTTATTTTTCTCTTTTGTGTTTGGTTTTGTTAATGTCACATTTTAAACATGTCCTTTTTGATATTATCACAATCTTGTTTTTTTTACTTTGTAAAGAAAAAAAATTTTCTAGAAAGGTTAACGTAAAAGCACGTGTATGTATTTAAAATTTACCGCTATAAACGTTTGTGTTTTGGTTTTTATTTTATTTTTTATTTTGTCACATTAAAAAAGAAACGAAATGTGTTTAGAATTTAGGAGGCGTTTAGAAAGAATCCCTTCTGTCTCCTTTTTTTTCTTTTTGTCAGGTTTGGCTTTATATTTATATCAATTGGAAAAATCAAGAATAGAGGAGCAGAGTAATAGGGAAACGCAAAAAATTTAAGGATGATTTAATTTACCTGCCGTTTTGTAAATTCAGAGAAATTCTTTCTTTTTCATTAAAGTTGAAAGTATGAAAAGAAATTTTTTTTTTATTTGGTCTCCATTCTTCTAATAAACTCTTTAGAAGAGCTTCATAAGCGCACCAAAATAAAAAGAAGTAAAAAAATAACAATTACAACAAAAAAAAAGTAAATAAATAATGAATACAAAAAAGTTTGTTTAGTTTTTGTTTTCACTTTTCTGTTTTTTACTTTGGTAAGTCCATTTTTTATCAGTTGAAAGTTTTTGTTTTTGAATGAAAAGTTTAGATGACATGGCATTAATTCCAGAGTTTTCAAAATATTGCTTCAATGCAATCAATAATTGGTTAAAATGTAACATGAATTTTGAATCCAAAACCTTAAAATTTGAGAGAAAACCTTGAAAAATCAAGAGAAATTATATTGGTTTCATATTATTAGGGTTTACTATAGCTTTATCGTCAGCTTACTAATTTGACTATAGAATAAATTACTGATTGAATTATAGTCCAATGCCAAATAATTTAATTAAGCTAGAATAATATTGTCATTTTCTTAACTACATTTGATCTAAAACAAAAGCTAAGAAATTTCAACACTTATTAATACTAAAGTCGAAAAAGAAATGGTTCGTCATAACTGTTTTATAAAGACAAATTTCATATGGGATATTGTAATAAGTCCCCCTTCATCTTGAGGTTTCATAAAATTTCCCGTAACAAATTGAATCCAGAAAAAAATTTAATTTGAAATTTAAAATTATTGAGGTTTGCGCCCGCATGCCTTTCCAAATTTTTGTTATAAGATGTGGGGAGGTCAAAAATTTGTTTATTTTTGTTGTTTTTGAGTTTAAATGGAATGATTTCATTTGACTTCGTACTGGTTTGTTAAAACCTTTCACCTCACTCACTTAAAAGATGTGGTATAATTATATAAGTATAGCCAATACACCATTTTTGAACAAGAACCAAAATAATAATAAAAGAAAATATTTAAAGGAGAAGAGTAAAAACTTTTTGAAAATTCAAACTTTTTTAGTTTTTTTTTTATTATTTTATTTTTTTTTTTTGGTGTTGCTATCAATTTTTTCCCTTTCATCAATTCATTGTTGTGTGAAACTTATGAAAATTTTTTTTTATTTCAATTTAGACAATCTTGTAGGCCAGGTAAACAATATTGGTAGCAGCTTGATTTTTTTTTCTTTTTGAAAAATAAAGGAGAAGAATATTGTTGATGTAATTTTCAAAAAGGAATTTAAAAACTTTTTAAATTGATTTTATCGAGATAATTTTCGATTAATTTATTAAAGAGAAGAGCAAGGCATAGATATATTCTTACTCTTTATGTTATTTTGAGTGAAAATCGTTTTAAATCACCATGATGAAGATTCATGAGGTTGAGGAGTAGATGACAGCCGTACCGTTGCTAAAGCAATATGGCATTTAAAAAAAAAAACTTTTTTTTTGTTGTGAAAAATTTATTTATTTAATTTTTTCCTGATGCTGTTTTTATACCCTGCACTTCGTGAAGGGTATATTAACTTTGGTATGGAGTTTGTAACTACTTGAAGGAGTCATCTGCGGTATGGACATATATATATATTCTTGCTCAGCGTAAAATTCTGAGTCGATTTAGACATGTCCGTCTGTCCGTCCGTCCGTCCGTCCGTCCGTCCGTCCGTCCGTCCGTCCGTCCGTCCGACCGATCGCACGATAACTCAAAAACGAATAATGCAATCGACACCAAACTTTCACAAGTTTTTTCTTTTGTGCCAAGGACGAGCCCTATTGTTATTGGACTAATTCGGACAACGGGTTCGGGTAGCTGCCATACAACTCAAAGAGTTTATTTTAAATATTTCAAAAACTAATAAAGCTGTAAATATAAAATTTTGTATACATGTGTCCAATTATATTCTACATATGCTCTAAGAATTATAATGGGATAGCTGCACCGGTTCGGGTGGCTGCCATACAACTCCAACAGCAAATTTTTTATATTCGGCAAAATAATAAAGTCAGATTCATGAAACTTGGCAGTCATGTGTCCAATTATAGGTCAAATATACTTCTGAAGTTTTAGAGGAATTGCTTTACAGGTTCGGGTACCTGCCATACAACTCCAGAAGCTAATTTTAAATATTTGGGAAAATAATAAAGTCAGATTCATGAAACTTGGCAGTTGGATGTCCGATTATAGATCAGATATATTTTTGAAGTTTTAGAGGAATTGCTTGACAGGTTCGGGTACCTGCCATACAACTCCAGAAGCTAATTTTAAATATTTGGAAAAATAATAAAGTCAGATTCATGAAATTTGGCAGTTTTGTGTCGAGTTATAGGTTAGATATATTTCTGAAGTTTTAGTGGTATTGCTTGACAGGTTCGAGTAGCTCTCATACAAGTCTAAAAGCTTATTTTAAAAATTTGGAAAAATAATAAAGTCAGATTCATGAGACTTGGCAGTCGTGTGTCCAATTATAGGTAAGACATATTTCTAAAGTTTTAATGGGATTGCTTGACAGGTTCGAGTAGCTCCCATACAAGTCTTAAAGCTTATTCTTAATATTTGGAAAAATAATAAAGTGAGATCCATGAAACTTGGCAGTTGTGTGTCCAATTATAGATCAGATATATTTGTGAAGTTTTAGTGGAATTGCTTGACAAGTTCGGGGACTTGCCATACAACTCCAAAAGCTAATTTTAAATATTTGGAAAAATTATAAAGTCAGATTCATGAAACTTGGCAGTCGGATGTCCAATTATAGGTCAGCCATATCCGTGAAGTTTCTATAGAATGACTTCACAGGTTCGAGTAACAGCTACACAATAACGAAAGGTGCAGGGTATAATTCAATCGGTTTATACCGACTGAAACGTTTTTACTTGTTCACTTTTCTTTTTACAAGTTATTTAAAATAAATAATAATAACAAAAATAATAATGATAAAAAAAACAAAAAAAAAATAAAATTCTTGTGAGAGTTTTATATTTTCGTTATATAGACTCAATTAAATTCCAATGGAATATTAAGTTTTTCTTTAAATAACTTTAAAAAATAATCTAAGTTAATCTCAAGAATATTAAGTATTGAAAAATTTCAGTTTTTTTTCTTTTAGCTTAAAGGTCTGAGGAATAATTTCAATCTATACGTGTATATTAATAAAAAGGCAATGTTGAAAATTTGTTTTTCGGATTGTACCCTTGCACAATATGTTAAATATATCAAGTTTATTGGGAAACGACTATTCAGAAAATGATTCCAAGGAATTAGACTATATTTGGCAGCCATTTTCGCTAGACAGATACATATCAACCCATCCGTCCATTCCTCAGTGTGCCGAAAATAAGTTTACAACTTCTCGTCCATCCCTCTTAAATTTACAACTTCTCGAGCGAAACGGCAAACACATTTTAAATTTTGCAAAGTTGAGGCTGGTTACTTCTACCATAAACGCTATATGCAGTGTAATCAAATAACGTTGAAATGACAAAAATGTAATTTAAATTAATTATTTGACTCAGATATCAGTGTTCTTGTAGATTGTAAGTTGTAAGAATGAAATTTTAGTAGCGTAATTTTAGTAAATAATGTTTTTCGTTAAAAGAACATTTTTTTCACCTCCGCTCTATGTTATCGTTCCTCCAAATTCGTAAAAATTTAAATTTTCAGTACCTTGATTTCCGAAACTGCATGCTTTTCCAAATTTCTACAAAAGCAATAATGAAATAGAAAATTCCATGTCGTCAAAAAATTTAATTATTTATTTTAACTCATTTACTTAAACGTCAACAATAGCTCTCACAAACAATTGGTTTTTCAAAAGTTGGGCAGCACTTTCAACTTTACGCTGTTGTTGATGAAGTGCTGTTTCCAAAGTTGTTATAAAGTTTTCTCAACCACTTCAAAACTCAATAACAAATGGTTTGAACATTTTGTTCCATTTTCAATAACCAGCATCCTGCCTCAAATATATAGTTCTTGCAATAAGTATTGCAACAAAATATTCAATAACACAGAACTTATAAATAAATTCAAGATTGACAAATTCAATTTATTACCGGTAAGATTTACCAAAGAACCTACAATACGATAATTATCAAAACTCTAAACTGCTCTATTTTTTTGAAAACCTTGAAGGTTATATGCGTTCTTATTAATAACTGCTTGTTTATATTGAAGTTTCCAAAGATCAGTGTTTAGTATTGGGTAACGAAAAATATCACTTCAAATTGTATTGAACTAATCGCCGTTTCCAATCACTGACCATAAAAAATAAAATCCAATTTTAATACAATATTTCTAATACATATTCATTATATTGTGGGACTTTGGCTATCAAAATAGTATTACTGGTATTACTGGTGATGGTATCCTTGAATTTATTAGGTATCTACTCGTGTATATGAAAAAAAATTATGGAATAAATAGAATTGCTTGTGTATTTATTCATCATGGGATACAATATATATTTGTATATATATATATATATATATATGGGTATATAGGATTCAATAAACCATCCATTTAAATTGTGAATGGTTTAACAAAAAGTTTTAGTTGGCACCTACATCGTGTACTAATTTGTGTGCATGATTGTTAGGGAATGTGCGATATTAAAATAAATTTTGTAATTTAATACTCGGTAGCTAAAATATTTTTATTTTTTTTTGCTTTTTTTTTAATTTACATTTTATTATTTTGTAATGGAATTTTAATTGGTTTAATATCAATGTTTCGTTCGATTTGATATTCAGGGTACTTTTTTTTACTGTTCTACTTTTTTCTATAGTTAATGGATGTTCTTTTCTATCGATCTAGGTGCACTCTATAGAACAACCAACAACTATATATCGTTTTTAGTGAGAACATTATTTTCCTTTTTTTTTTTTATTAAAAATGAGTTAGTTTTCACATTTTTTTAAAAAATTTATTATTTCGTTTTTTTCTTCTTTTTTTTTTACATGCTTGTTACATACGAAAGGTTCTTGAAGAATTGCTATTTAAACTGGAAATTGATCATGTTACATGGTCAAGTGATAAAAGAGGATATTACTATCATGTTGTATTTCCATTACCAGCTGGTGAACCATGTGAAACAACATTACATTGTCTAACTGAATTGGGTATCGGAACGAAATTTAATTCAAGTGTCAGGTGAGTTAAGTCATGACTACTACAAAGTTTTTTTTTTGGCTTTAAATTTATAGTAGTTTTTTTATTTTTATAATATAGGAATACAAAAATTTAAGTGTATTATGTAGAAATGAGAATATTAGGGCTTTTAGAATTTATATAAGTTGCGTTGTTTTGTGCTTGTGTAAAAACAATATTAAATAAGGGCGTTTTTTATTTGGAATGTTTTATTTTTGGTTTTTTTTTTTATTTTTAAAGGTTAAATTCCGATTTGCATATGTCAAATGATAGATGAAGTGAGGTAAAAAGGTATTTGAAATTGAGAGGAATTCAAATTTTTTTAGTTCTGAATGAAAAATTGAAAAAAAAGGAAAATTGATTGATTTTGTATTTAACATGGAAAAAAAAATTTAAAAAAGGATATGGGAAATGACATTGTGCGCCTATAAAACACTATTTTAATGACATTGATGTTATGTAAACGAATTAAATTTTGCAGAGACCAAATTTAGTTTTTCAGTTTGTCTTCTACAGAAAATTGCGCGTTGTTTTTTGAAAATAAATTTGAACTTAATCGTTTCTTTATTTTAATTTTGTACAGAATGGCTTTTTATTTCACAGTTTAAATCGGAAAAACAAATTCTATTGAAAAATATTTAAGAATGTTGTATTTGTTGGATATCTAGTCAGGCATTATGAAAATTATTGCAGAGTGTTAAATTATTTTAAGAAAAAAATTCAATTTTTGAGCTCACACTTAATCAAAAAATTGAAAAATTTTAAACATGATTATTATAAATTAAATAAAAATCCGCAATTTCTGAATATTTGTCGTCCTCATTGTTATAAAATTCATAATTGCCAAGATGTGGCTTAAAAACTCCCGTAAAATAATTCAAGTAATTACAAATAAATAATGCTTTTCTTTATTTCAAATTTAAATAACCTTAAGCAGTTTATTATTTGCTTTATAGTAAATTTTATATATTATATACCATTAACATCATTTTTTAATATTTAATGCATCAGTATTGAATCCATTGAATGTCATCGAAAGTAGTTAGAAAATATAACAAAGCTTAATAAAGAGAATCTTTTGCTCTTAGTAGAAATCTGCGTTTTGTAGAGGATTATTTAATAGAATATTAGCTCTTTCATTGGTATGACAGAGTACCTACAGAGACATAGAGATATAAATAGATTAACACAGACAATACATAAAAACATTTTCTTAACAAAATTGTGTACTTATCCATGTACTCATACATTTCAAATTTAATGTTATCTAATAAAATACAATGTCGCCTGATTCTTGGAATTTCTGCTGTATTGTGCTATTTTATTTTGCCTTTTTATTTTTATACCCGTACGAACGTATGTTCGAAGGGTATACTAAATTTGCCTTACCGCTTGTAACACTAAGAAATAACGGTGTTAGATATAGACTCAAGTATATGTTTTTGATCAGCGTCAAATTCTGAGTTGATTTAGCTTCGTGTGTCCGTCCGTCCGTCCGAACGATAACTCAAAAACTAATTGAGCTAAGTTCACCAAATTTTCACAAATGATTTATTGTAGTAAGTGCCAGAACCCTATTTAAATTATACATGATCGGGGTACCGGTTCGGGTAGCTGCCATACAACTTCAATAGTAGTTTGGCACAACCAGTATTTTGAAAAACACATAGTACTGAAATTTTGCATAAATTAATCTGGTAATACAGCAACTTAAAGTCATAGTCTGCTCCATAGTTAGTTATGGCACATTAGTTATTCGCACATAGGATAACAAATTCGTACGGGTATCACAGAGTTGACAAGGTCAACTCTACTTTTTTTCTCGTTTTCATTCATTCTTAATATTATTCTAAGTCAGGCCATATTTCGGTTAAAAGATTTTCTTCCTTAAGAAAGCAAATTGTTGCCACAGTGTATTGCATGTAAAAAGGATTCAATGTGAAATGTTTAAATAAACTTGTGTATAAGAAATAAAATAATTAATCAAAAAGACATTAAAATATTGGTTCAAAATAAATATAAACAAGTGAAAACATTTCAATATACCTTAATTGACAGAATTATAACGCAATGATCTGACTAGAAAACCAAAACCTTCAAATGGTTTTTATTAGCTGAATATAAAACACTTATAATTTAGCAACTTTTTATTAAATTTCATGGAGGCATCTCAAATAACATCTGATCGGACGGACGGACGAAAATGTCTAAATCAGCGAGAATTTTACTCCTTCAAGTAGTTACAAACTCGTTACCAAAATTAATACCCTTCCGAAAGGTACGGTGGCAAAATAGAGAATACGAGTAGGAGATACGTATAATATATAACAATATAACTATATTTAAAAAAGGGAACAGTACATTGTAAATTGAGCAATGTTATAATAATGCCTTATTACTTGAACGGGATGCTAAAAATGTTAAAAAATTTGACTATACACAAAATTTGTACATACACGAAATTTGTTATGGTTGGAGTATATTTGTGAAGGGAGAAGGCATATTACATAAAACAGAATAATAACACAGAATGCCATAGAAAATAATATTTTGAAAAGTTGATTTTCAAATTTTAATGTTCCTATAAACAAGGGCATTATTTCTATACTTACGATTAATGAGGTCTATAAATGATCATTTCTATGGTCGATTAATGAAGTTTATTCAATTGCAGAAAAAAATTTAGTTTTTCCTGAGCTTGTATTTAATTTTCAAAGTTAATGAGATTGAATTGTAAAACTACGTTCACTTAAATAACTTTAAATTAAAATTGCTAATATATTTTTAATTCATCATAAATTTAGTTATATATGAACTTTTTTAAGTTTGGACAAATAACTTTAATATTTTAAAGAATTTGAAGAATATTCAAATACATATCATACAACCCATTACCTCGAATGAAGATCTCTTCAGCCTTTTATTCATTTATTTTTGTTGAAACACTTTTCCCATACTTTTTCTGCTCTGTTTTGGTAAAATATTAGGATAAAATTACCCTAAAAAGAATTGATAATTGACACGTTATACTATTATTGTACAAATCTACAAAAAAATATAAGTATCCTGAAAAATATGACTAAAATATTTGTTGAAGTACGGTAAATAATAGTCCAGTAAAACTAGTATTATAGCTTCTTAAAAGTTTTCAAGACTTGCTAAAATAGTTGAAGAGGCATCCCAACGTTTGTTGCTAAAATCATTTGTGAAATTGTAGGCTTCTTTCTTCTGAAGTTGTATGACTTGTTATTGGATGTGTAAATACACGTTCTGTTTTCCCGATAATGCCTAAATTCAAAAGGGTCTTGAAATTATCATTTCAAACCAATTGCAAAAATTTGGTTAGTGTAACTCAATCATTTTTTTAATTTTCACTGGAACAATCAGACGGACAATCATTCGGAAATAAATTGACTCAGAATTCGGCGCTAAGTGACAATATGTATTTACATATATGTCTATATTTCAAATCCGTATTATAAACGAAGCAGTAAATTTATGTCAGCCGGTAAATTTTAAATATTAAAGAAATTATAGCTTTAAAGGATTGGATTGAACAAAGTTCATTGTACGAAGTGAGTTTCTGAAATTACTTTCACGAAAAGAACAAAGTGATAAATTTTTAATTAACAACTTTTAATTTTATTCTTTTCTTTCTAAATAAATTTTATAAAAATTGTCAGATATTCATAAATATATACATTTACGAGTGCACACACAATACATAAATGTTGTATAATACTCGTATTCACATGTCCGGATGCACATATTTAAAAATTTGTACGTTTCATTAATTTTAATCTTTTAACACATTTTATATGATCGATTTCAATTTACCAAATTTCCTTGTCCGGTAATTTGTACCTTAGTTTATTAATTATTTATTAAAATATTTAAATAAAAACAAACATAAAAAATAATAAAAAAAAAACATAAAAAGTAAAACACCAAAATAAAATTAATATTAATCCAAGAGCTCAGGATATTAAAAGGAAACAAGAAAAAAAGTAAATGAGAAGAAAAATACAATAAACGTTAAGATTTTGCAATAAAAATAATATTTATTATATAATGAAATTTATTTATTCATACCATTCATGATGATGATGAAAAAAAAAACACATGTAAACGGACATATTATAATGAACACGTACATAATGTATTCTTCTGTTAAACATATAGATTGAACACCTTATACATAATATTGTGCATATTATACAGCACACTGATGTTGATGTTTGGATGAATATTGTAATGTATATGTGGCAATAAAATGTGGGCCAATTATAAAATATTGTTATTGTTGTCTTTTTTATCCCTTTTGTTTTTTATGTTATTCTCATTGTTAAGTCATTAAGGTATTTAAGCACATTGAGAAGAATAATTTCATTTTTGTATTCTATTCGTTTTTTTCATTTTATTGTAGATATATGAAAAAAAATTTAAAATTAATTATAAATAATGTAAATACATTGCAAACGATTGAGCAAATACACATACGTATGAATGAAACTTACTAATTGAATGGGATATGTGAGAAAAAATAAATAAATAAATAAATAAAAATTTTAAATTCTTGGAATTATTTAAAGTTTTTATATAAGAAAAATATTATTGATTTTTTTTAAATTCATTCAGGTACTTTAAAAATTTAATAAATTTTAAAAAGGACTCTTTTATCTGTTAAAACTTTTTACTATATTTTATTTTTTATATATGAATTTTTAAATATCTTAAGTAACATTGAATGGTTTTTATAGTAAAAATTATTGTAATAAATAATTTTTTTGAAAAAATAATTTTATTTTAAGAATTAAGTGTTATCTGAAATATTGCGATATTAAATGTGTTCAATGAAAGATTTAATGCCGGATAATGTGGAATTTTAAGTCCTCAACGATAAAAACAAATACTTCTATATTTTAGGATTTCCATTTTTTAGGTATTTTTAGATTGCAAATGTTTTAAAGGACCAGAGCAGGCAGAAGACAAATATTACTTTAAAATAATTAAAAAAAAAAATAAAATAATTATCTTTTTTTATAATAACTTCAAAAATTACTTCTGTGTCACATTCTGATTCCTTTGATTTTCTGCAGGATTGTGGAAAAATATGAGAAATATTTTTATTGATTCCTCTCCATTTCTCCAATACCAACTAAGTTCCGAAACAATAACTGTAGATCTTACTTAGTATTTTTTCTATATTGAAACATGAACATTAATGCAATATTATTATTTTTTAGTGTAGAATTATCAGTCGATTTACAGATTCTGGGCTTGAACGTCTTTCCGCTCCAGAAACAATACAAAACCTTCATGTAGAGGAGAGCTCATCAAATTTTTACCAATGATTCATATTTGAGAATGTCAAAATCATATTTAATTTTTTTGAGATCTAAAGAGTGACTCCATTATAGCCGTAATAGAATTTTAAAGGTAATTTGGCTATATTTCCAGAACTACAGTATTAAGGTTATAGTAGTGACAGAACAAAATTAATAATGAGGAAGCTGAATTGGTAGAAACCGTACGCTTTGGAAGTGCTTTTTAGTGTCATTGACTAAATAATTAAATAAGATTACATTAGGGAACTATCATTTTTGAAAAATTTGATTTAATACATATGATAAGGTGCAATATATCTTCAAAAGCAGTTTATTCATAGGTACTTTTCAGATTATATTCAAGTATAGCAAGAACTTGTTATTCAAATCAGGACTAATATAAGTATAAAAACAATCATGTAGTATGAATGCTCTTGGCAGATAAAATATAATTCTTTAAATTATTAATTGGTACGGCGCAATCAAGACCTGCAATATTTTCGGCATATTAATTACATGGAAATCTATTGTCATTCCATTAAGCTACTAAAACAAATTTATAAATTTAGCTTTCATTATTACAGAACATTTCATTTAAAAAAATTTAATTAATTTTAAAAAATTTTTTCAGTTTTGCCCTTCAGAAAATAAGAATGCATCCTTCAATTACTAACATTTTTATTTCTCTAATTACAATAGAGAATAAAAACAAGCAATGAGAAATAAAAATCAAATATTTTCAAATCAAAATATGTATACTCGTTCGTAATTTTTTGTGTTTGCCCCATTTATAAATTTTTACCACAAGTATGACAACATTAATAGAAAATTGAGTACAATGTCAAAGAAATCCGGAATGAATGTATTGAATTTAATATGAAAATGAGAATAGGTGAGAAATCAAATAAAAGAAATATTAAAGTAAAATGAGAATTATGTACAACATTGTTAACCATGAACAAAAGAGAGATGAACTTTATTTATTCAATGTCCTTTTCATTACTTTAGGTATTTGTGGGTAATATTATTATGTTAAAATCTATTATTTTCATTTTATTCATTAGGATTTTAATTATGATTATAAAAGATATACAAATAATCACCTTGATTTTTAATTTTATAAATATAAAAAGAAACCCGTGTCTTTTAAGTAAATTTCTATTTAAAAGTAAGAAAGAAAATTTATATTGTAATGAGAGTATAAAGAGAATGAGAATGAATATATTTTTACTCCTTTTATACTACAATCCCGGAACACGGAAAATGAAAGGTATTATATTGTGTATATTTTTTGTCTATATCTTTTCTGGTATTTTTATGTGTATGTACTAATGTATGCTCTTTTGAAGCGTCAGTGAACTCAAAATGATAAATTACTTATTGCAGTTTTATAGTTGCTTGTTACATAGATATTGATCGCTGGTAGTTCAAATAATATCTACTCCAAATAATTTATGGCTCAATTGAATTGCTCGAAATTTTGAAGGAGTTATCAATTATGGTTTTGATATTTTACTTTAGTTTATTAAGAGTTTTCAAATTCAAGCTACAGTTTTCTACAGTAGAAAAAAAATATTTATGAAGAATAAAATAGATTTGCAAATTATCTTATGGTAGACTGGCAATAACTTCGAATTTAATATAATATTTGCATTTCACATATTTCTATTTTACCTCATTTTAACACTTTTTTCTTGTCATCATTAAAATGTTAAAAAGACAAAAGTTTTAATAAATATAATTTAATCAAATGAACGTATGTGTAGGTAAATATATACATACTTTATAATCTGTAATTATGTATAGAATCGTGTATATGCTTATTTTTTCACATTTTAATTCTTATTTTTTTTCTTATTATTTTAGTGTACTACCATGCAGTGTCAGCTATGACGCCATATCAGATGCACAAAATAAAGACACGGATTTCAGGTGAGAGTACTCATTTCGTTCCAGAGTGTAATACTATACAGGTGTAAATGAAAAAAAAATATGCATATACAATGTAAAGATTTGTACATTTGGTTTATTTCGTTGACAAGAAGACAATAGCGGGATATTAATTATACAATACCTTATATTATAATGTACATTGCATATACTAGATGTAAATTATACGTAATATGTGTATGTAAGCACATTCCTCATCCCTTCATGGATGCACCGAGCATAATGGATTGTGTGAATTTCTATACTGTACCAAGAGTTCTTTTATTTGACTTTGATTATTAAAAAGAGAAAATTAAAGGAAATAAAAGCAGTGGCAAATGCGACTGAAATATTTTCATACTAGAAAATTTTGAGAGCAAAAACGTACTGCTTTTATAATACCTAAAGAGTATTATGTTTATTTAATGCTTTTAGAGAACAAAAAAGCTAGAGTGAAGAAGAGAGAGTTAAGCTGTTTTGCTTTCATTAATAACTAGAAGAATTTTGCATGTTCATTTTCACACACATTAAATTTTTCAAGTGTACAAAGCATGTGTGTATACGAAATGTGTTGTTTTTTAATTTTTTCCTTTTAAGAAAAATATCAAAAGAGTAACGTGGAAAGGTCATCTGATTTAAGGAGTAAATGTAAAAATCTTATGAAAAGAATTTTTGTTCTTTACAATATTAAAATGTTAAATGTTATCGTGCATAACTTACGTAATAATTGCTTATAATTATGCGTGAAGATCACTTAGAATATGTGTGTGAGTTTTTTTTTAAATAAATTCACTACAATTACTTCAAATTAATTTTAATTTAAATTAATGAGAGGTTTTTTTTTTCAATTTGTTCGTTTAATTTTTTTTCTTTATTATTTAGTTACATAAGAGGTTTCAATTAACTTTTCTTGTAAAGCTATTTTTTGTTCACAACTTGAACTTGCAAATTTGTAAAAGTCGGTATTAATTAAGAGCGGTTAAAGAACATAATGATTTCAAGCGTTTATTTACAATCGATTCATAAAAAGAATTAAAAGACATAATTATAGGGACTATTGCATTAAAACGTAAAGGTAAAGTTCTTTGTACAATCACTATACAAATGAGAAATAATGGCATAGTTGAATGTGAAAAAAATATTCTTGAACTCTAGAGAGGCTTTTTTCTCTGTTCAAAATTTCAAGGTAATTGCATAATAAACGTTGATTATTGGTACTTATAATATTTTTTTAAATTTGTAAATAATTTGACTTTCGTAGATAATTTAATTTAAGAAAATATTATAAAATAAATAATATTTTAAGAGTTATTCTTTTATATAGCTACTCTCTTGTTATATTTAATAAAATTCACAATGAAATATATTTTAACTTATTAAAATTAAATAGTACTCGAAAATATCATTCCGATCTACTTGAATGTATTATAAGAATTGCTTAACAGAAAGTAAATAATCAAAGCTGCACTGTAAAAAATTTCGAAGGAAATTTACTACAAAGAAAATTGGCAACCGATCTGCCAACATTAACCTTAGTAAAAATATAAAGTTGTTGCAATATTGCAATTTATTATTAATTTTTTTAAAGGGTATTTTGCTTCTGGTAGGAGAATAGGGCTAGTACATGATATCATAGATAACCATGAAATAGTTTCTTGCGTCATTGAGTTTTATTAGATAGGTGTCGAGCCTATGGTAGATTTATTCTTTTAATACATTTTAATTGTAAATTTTAATTGTAAATCGTGCACTTTAAATAGTAAAAAGTACATTTAGAACAGTAATCCTTGCAATTGCGAGGGTAAAAAGTTCATCATTGTAAAAGTTATTTTTTACTGCTGATAAATGTGAAAATATTCCAAATAGCACTATTATTCTAATGGGGAAGGGAGAAAATATATGACAGTCCTTTTCGGGGCATTCGAACATATATTGCACATTATAGGAAGAATAACGTCACAACTCAAAAATGTAACTTCGATTTCCGGAAATTAAAGTATTTAATTACTATCGAAGGCTAAAAAACGTTGATATAGAACAATTCCATAAGTATATAAACAAATTTCCTGTATTATTTTGTTACAGAGAAGCTTTATATATTTAAATATAATAGTAATAAAAGCAAGTTTGCGACTCTGCATTTTGGCTAATGCCATTGTTCTCGCAAATGTGCAATAAATAAATTTATAAATTAGCGAAAATTATGTTATTCAATTGTATTTTTTAATCCTATAGAAATAATTTACTCTGTTTCATTTTATATTACTTGATAATAAAAATTTCGGTTACAAATTTGAAACTTTTCCGTCTAGACAATATGTAAAGGGATTTGGTTAAGTGAAAAAGAGAAGAGAAAAATAAAATATTCCTTAATTCTATGTTTTATAACTTAAAAATATTCATACATTTTAAAAATTTGGTAAAAAATTTGTAATTGAATTTTCTAAAATTCCAAATAGTCTAGAAAACCCTGGTAAATTTGTTTTAATTTTTCATGAACAAAAACTTTAATTTTACATTTTTATAATGGGTACCCGTATATAGTGTGCCCAATTTGTATAGTTTTACATTTAGTTCATAGAATAAAGTAAAATTGTTTTCATTATAGAAAAACCCTTGTCCGAATTTCTTTTTTTTTTTTTACAATTAAATTATTGTTTTAGTATTTTGTTTTTAGAAAATAATATTTTTGTTTCGTAGAAAAATATCAGATTAAATTTATATTGGGGTCAGAAATTACATCTTAAAAATATTTTAATATTTTGTTGTTTTTGCTTTTTTGGCCTATATAAAAAGGAAAGCAGAGACCCAAATTTGCGGACAATAACAAAATGAGAAAGGATAATTAATAATTTTTACAACTTTTGACTGGATTCTATGTAACTTTTTGTACACCTATATCACCTCCACACCTTTTAAAAACTTTTCCTTTCTATTTAAAAATATAAAAAATTTCATTTTGTTTATTTTTGTATAAAATTTATATAATTATGTTATTTTTTTTGGAATAAAATCATTTTATGTCTTTATTTTTCATTTTATTTTTAAATAAAAGTGAAAAAAGAATACATTTTTTTTAATATCCTTAAAAATATTAAAATATTTTCAAGAGAAAAGGAAAATACGTACGTATAGTAGAGGTGATAAGGTTAATGAAATTTGTATTCATTCATTCATTTGTTTGTTTGTAGAACAATTGCTGGTTGAAGTTCTACTGTACTATGGGTAATTAAATGAACTCCAGAAAGGATAATTGGGAAGAATAACTTCATTTTTCGTTGGTTTAAAATAAGATAAAAGCTGAATTATTCCTTGTTTCTAATAGACATGATTTCTGTAACCCTTTCTGTTCAGTTTTTTGTGTTGATCCTTTCTTTTTTTTTAATTTTTGTTTAATTCAAATTTATTTTGATGTTTTTTTTGTTCTTTTTTGTTGAAATTCATTACAATTCTGTTTTTCATTTTGGTTTTTAGTTTTGGGTTATTTCAATTACAATATTTATAAAAATGTAATAAGTCTCAGAAAGAGAGAGAGAGGACGAATCGAATACTGTATTGTACCTTATTGTAAGCTCCTATGAGACTACATTATATTGATAATACCTAAAGGAGTTTAGTAGGGTAAAAGTTATGTAGTTGTTTTTGTGTTTTTTAGTCAAGTTTATTTTTTTTTAACTATTTCATGCTCTGCTGACAGGATAATTGCTTTTAATTAAACGTTCTGTTCCAAAAAAAAGCAAAAAAAAAGAGAGTAATAATATAGAGAAAGAAGCTAAATATTATAGGGAATGCAGTATAAATATTGTTGAAAAAAAAGTAGGGCAAACTTTAAAAGGATATTAAACAGAATAGTATAAAAGTAACTAAAAAAAAAAAACAAAAAGGATTATTTATTTATTTTTTTCTGGTTATTACTGCTGTGGGATTTTGGAGTTATTTAGAACTTTTGTTCATTGTTTTAGTCCCTCCTTTATGTACAAAATAATACGGCGGGATATCTGTAGCATCTACTTTTGGATTTTTTTTTTGTTATAGTGGCCATAACGTCTCTTTAAGATTCTTTTGGTCAACTTGTTTATTATTTTTGTTTTTTTTTTTTTTTTTTTTTTTTTTGTTATATAGATATATGCATTATGCATTAAAGGCTAAAAATTAAAATGAATATAGCACCAACTACAATAGAATATTTTGTATTCTTTAAATATTTTTTTTTGTAAAAAGTATTCAAAAAATTTAAAAAAAGGAACTTTTTCAGTTGTTTTTAGTTGTTTAAATTTCTGGACAATATTAAGTTTTACGCGTATTTGGTAAATTTTTTAAATTAATTTGAAATGTTGTTGAACCACAAGATTTGTTTTCGAATGGTATGACAATTTATTTGCATTACTTCATTTCATGGTTTTGAAAAAACAAAAAGTTACTTTATTTATGTTTTACATGCAAGTTTACAGTAAAATGAAGAACATTAATCAAATTTTGAAAATAGAAAGAAGTTGGGCAAGGTGATTGTACATTTAAACACGTATAATTTTCAGATTTAATTGATAAGCTATTGTTTGGTATGTCTGAACTTTTGGCTATGTCATATTTTGCAAAATTGTATACAGAACAAATTATAATGAAACTTGAGTTCAGAACGACTTTAATTAAAAGTTTTTGAAAGCAGGACACTTTTTCTGAAGAATTTTTGTATAGATTTTTTTATGAAACTTCGAAAATTCAAAGAAAAACTAAACAACTGAAATCTTACTGTTTGATCTATTTATTCAAAATCTTTAAGAAGATTTAAATTTTATTATGCACATTTGAATTATGTATATAGGATTGTTTCATTTCGCTATGGTACATTTTCATTATGTATACTAATTTGCAAAGTGAAAAATTTTATACAAAGTTTCTCAAAAAAACTTTTTACATATTAATAAGAAAAGCATTCTAAAGGATAAATGTGTGACTTTTTTTATTGAAAGTAAAAATATAAAATGTTTTTATATAATTATCCG